GCCTGGAGAAGAGTCCCTCTTATAAAAGATATTATAATTAGCTTTAATAATATAATTATAATATAAAATAAATAGTACTTAAAAGAAAATATTAGAATTATTAATAATATATATAAGCTTATAACGTAATCAATGGTCGGGCGGGCCACACGGTCAGGCGGGCCACACAGTCAGGCGGGCCACCCTTTTGAAAATACCATCTTGAATTACCTATCCAAGACTTTTTAACTATTATAAATGCTACTAAAAGTATCTATCTTATTAAAATTACAAATAGAGCAGGAAGGCAGAATTCTTTTTATTATTAAAATTATTTAAAAAGGCTAAATTGCTAGTATTTATAAAATAGTATATATTTATAATATTACTTAAACTACTCTTCAGGCTTGATTATTTGGATGTATTTTTATTAAAAATATAATTAATATATATTAAAAATTATTAAATAATAAAGAGAAATTACTTGTTAAATAAATTTTATTTTTAAATAAATAAAAAGTAAGTCCCCGGCTACTTAATATCAGAGATATAATTAATTTAATTATCTTTAAATAAAATTATTTAACTGTTAAATAAGTAAGTATTAACTAGATTTATAACTTTATTAAATATTATAAATTTTTATAAACTTAATTTACTAGATAACTTAACTATTAAAAAATTAAAATAAAGGATTCTGAAATTATAAAAGACTAGTTTAAATATATATAAGAAGTTATTTAAAAGTATAAGATTTTATTAGATAATATATATAATTTTGATAAAATAGGGTTTATTATAAAAATAATTATTATATATAAAATAATAACTAATTTTTAGAAAGCAGGTCAGCCGTCTTTAATTTAATTAGAAAATTAGAAATAAATTACTATAATTAAATATATTTATTTTAATAAAGAGATTTTATTTTTAATCCTGATCTTCAAAGATAAAATATATCTAAAGATATAATATAAAGATTAATCTGTTTTTTTTATCTAGAAATTTAAAATTAGTAATAATAGTTAAATTACTGATAAAATTAGATTTTAATAGCTTCAAAAATATTTCATTTTCTTGATTAGAAATAAATTAATAAATAAATATAATCTTTTAATTCTTAATAATTACAGTAGTTATTTAATACCTGAATTTAATTAATCTTATACTAAAAATAAAATTATATTTATTTATATATCTGTTTATTTGTCCCATTTATTTCAGTCTTTTAATATTAATTATTTTAATATATTTAAATATATATATAAAGATATAATTTAAAAATAAATATAATACAGCTGTAATTATATTAATAAGCTTAATTTTTTAAAAATCTATTCTAAAGCTTACTAATATATTTTATTAAAATTAAATATAATTAATAATTTTAAAGTAATAGATTTTATTTCTCTAGATCTTGATTAAGTACTTTCTTAATTTTATATTTATTTAAAAATATTATTAATTTTAAATAGCTAGTTAAGTAGCTCAGTACTTTAAATACTATATAATATAAAATATTTTTTAAAGTATTAAAAATTAATAAAATATTTACTTTAGAAATAATAAGTAAGTCTAATTTTATTTATATACTTTATACTATGTCAGCTTTTCAAAAGATATAAACTAATAATAATAAACTTAATTATACTAGTTAAGAAAAATACAGAATTATATACTAGCTATAAAAAGTAATTATAAAAAAAGAAATATTTAAGAAAATAAATAATTTATACAGAAAATACTACTGTTAAAGAGGCCCAGAGAGCTATATAAAAAATAAAAGAGATATAAAATAATAAAAATATTAAGATTAAATCTTAATTTTAATATATAAAGATCTTCTCACGCGCGTCTCTACACTACAGTAATTATTTTAATATAGGTCACTGATATATACAGTATTCTAAACCATCTACTAATTAGTTAGATAGCTGTTTTTACAAGTATTTGTATTGATTTAGAGGCCTTATTTTGATTATATCAGGTAATCCTACCAGGAGGTGGCCTGCCTGACCGTGTGGCCTGCCCGACCGTTGATTACGTTAATCTCCGTATAACTATAATAAGCAATATAAAAAATATCATGGATTAAAAATATATTATCTTAATAATAAATAATAAAAGATAGAAATATATAACTTAGTCCAAGAGCCTGAACCAGTATAATCTATATTTTATTAAATAAATCTTAACTAAAAAATTATAATAAAGAAAAGAAGCAGGTCTCTGTCTCTAGTATAAAAAAAATAAATATTTAATCTAAGATTATTACTAAAAGTTTATATCTTAACCTCCAGTCTGAGCAGCTATTATAAAATATAGAAAGTATTTAATAAAAGAGACTATAAATAAACTTTAATTTCTAGATATATAAATCTTAGTTATAAGATTATATATTAGAAAAAAAAATAATAATATTATAAGAAATACGGCTTGTAATTTAAATATTAATAATATTTTATAATATATTAGTTCAGCTGTTTATATTTATTCTGTTAAACTTATTAATAATAATTTTATTATTTTATTATTTATTATTTAATTCTCTTTAATCTATTAATGAGATCAGTAAGGAATTATAATTATATTATATTTTTTATTATTTTTTTATTCTATTCTATTCTGTTCTGTTATATTTTATTAGTTATATAATTAAATTCTGTATTATAAATTTATCTAAAAAATTATTTTTAATATTAGAAATTGCTTCTTAATTCCAAGAGTATATTATCTATTAGATAAGAAGGAATAATTACTGTTTAGAATAGTCTCAGAATTCCTGAGATTTTGTGTGTTGTGTTTAGTCAGCAGGCGGTAATAACATAACCGGACAACAAAGCGGCACGACAACGAGCCGGTATGGCAACCCTCACTACTTCAAACCTCTATACAACACAACACGTGATATATTTAATCTTGCTTAATTCAGTTAATATTAAAGCTATTTAAACACATAAAGGATCTTTCTCAAGATAAAAGATTAATACTTACCTGCAAGACCTTTAATCACAGCTAATTTACTATTAAAAAAATATATACTGCAGTATTTAATATTAAGATAAATATTCTAAAAGATTATTTAAATAGCATCAAACCTCGCACGGAAATAGAGATAAATTTAAGAAAATTATTTAATAATAATAAATTAGTCTTGAAGCACAGGATTCTTAAATTAAATTTATAAAATTATTTATTTATTATTATTAAAATATAATATCTTGCAGAGGTCCTTCTAGCATTAAAATTAAAGTTAAAAAATATTTTTATTAATAAATACTAGATTAATTAATTTATTTAATATTACCAGGCTAAATTAAAGTCTAAATATATTTAATATTTTAATTATTAATATATAAAGTATAAGAATATCAAGATTATAAATCAGTAATTTAAATTAATACAGAATATTATATAAAAATATAAGATTCTTGAATATAATATTTATAATATAAATAAAATAAATTTTTAAATAGAAATAATATTAACTATAAAGATTATTTATAATACTAAATTATATTAAATAAATATAAGATCTATATAACCTGAAAATCATGAATAAATTACTTTAATTATTATAATTAATACTAAAAAGAGTGTATTACCTTTATAGATTATCTTTATAAATAAGATATAATAAGAAAAGTAGTTTAAAGCTATTCCTAATAATTAATAAATTAGTATTAATAATAATAAATAAATAAATAATAAACTTATATTTAACTAGTTTTAATACTTTAATATTTATATAATCTTAAAAATAATAGACCAGTATTATCTTCTTATTCTTAATAATTATAAAAACTATTCAACTATTAAATTTAACTAATATTATAAAGAAAAATTAATTATTTTTTTATATATATTATCTTATTTTTTCTATAAACTTTAACTACTTAATATCACTTATTTTATATTACTAAAAACTTTATATAATTATTAAATTAAAGATACAGCTGATCAAGATATCTATTATATATAAAAAAAAAACTTTTTATATTATTTCAAAAAAATATATTTAAAAATATTTAATATAATAAATATAAAACAAGGTTTTACTATAACAGGATTTTCTCTGTATAACTCTTAAAAAATACTTTAATATTTTAAAAATTTAAATTAAATATCTCCATTATTTTTAATATTATTATCTAATTAATCTATATATCTCAGTAAAATACTTTTAATTCTTTATTAATTAAATTATTAAAAAACAGAGATCAAAATACTACAGAAAACTGGATTATTCTTGCTTATTATTAATTAAATACTTAAAAAAATTTATAAAAATATAAAAATAATAATATAAAATACTATACTACTTTAACAGAAATTAGATTAACTCTGTGCAGTAGATTAATATAAAAAAAATAAAAAAAAGACTTTAAAATACTTTCTATAAAAAAAAAATATATTAGATAGCTTTACTATACATTATATTACTTAGAAAAAGAATATTAAGATTATACAGATAATAAAATATATTTAACATCAGCTACTACACTACAGTAATTATAATAAGAAAAGCTATAATTATCTCAAATATCCAGATAAAGTCAACACCTAGTTTACTTGAATATAAGTCATTTATATAGTATTTAATTATTTTAATTTAAAGCGATCGTTGCAATATGGTAGGCAGAATGGTGGCTTGTTTATGAGAATTGAGGGTTGCTGCACCGGCTCGTTGTCGCGCCGCTTCGTTGTCTGATTATGTTAAGACTGGTTAGCCGAGTCCTCTAGTAGGGACCTGTCCCGTAACAATTATTAATTATTTTTTTTCTTTATCTGTGAATAGTAGTGTATTTATTAATAATCTATAAATTATATAATAAATACTAGTTAAGTCTTACAGTGGGACTGCTATTAGTATAAATATTTCTTATAATTAAATTATTATAAGAATTATAAGGATTTACATCTTTATAATTATTTTTTATGAGGTCTTGGCTCTCATGACCATGAGTATTAATAATAATTATAATAATATTTTTTTAAATATATTTTATAATAGCTATACAATTGACTAGTCTACGGTGGTGATCGCCGCCCTAATTGGGCCTACCGTTTCTTTCACTTCCATTACCTTCCTCTTCTTCCTTTCTGTCCCCTCTTCAGCTAAGTTTTTTCTTGTTAAATACACACTGCTTTGCTAAGTTATTGCATCCAGATGTCTTCGTTCCAGTTTTCAAGGACATGAAAGAGAAAATTCGAAGTAGAATGATGAAGATTTTGATTCAGTGAGTGGGAGAGTGAGCGCTCTGTGGGGTGTTTAACGTCAATTATTTTCATCGTAACAGAAATCAATCAATTGCTTGCATGTGAAAAGGTAAAGAGTGACGTTGGATCTAACTACTGCCGAAAGCGACTCTTCTCGGCCGCCATAACGCTCATCTGCGTGATGGGAGAGTTGCTCATTATGTCGAATACTGTGAAGTTTGCCCCAATTTCATTCATGAACCAATTCTTCATATCAACTGCGACGAGGGAGTCAATTCCATGGGCGTGGAGTGGGCTATCTCTCTCGATAGCGGTCGCAGGTATCCCCAAAATATGGCCGACCTTGTGAGCAATCCATTCTGTGATCATAGAAGCAGCCTCCTCTGGTGAGGCTGATTTAAGCGCAGCAGGGCGATCAATAGATCCTTTAGCAGCACCCTGGTTAACCACTGACGAATTGCTATCAAGGCCCATTCGAAAGAGATGGCTGAACATCGGACGTCGCATTGTATGGTGGAGGTCCACGCCTTTGGCAGCAATGACGGTCGGAAGTTCAATGCCTATCACAGGCTGAGCCTCGTCGCGAGGAAGCAACGGCAACTGGGGATTGCAATAGAAGTCGAGCAAAGCAATGAACTCCTCATTTCTGACCTCCATCAAGTGCCCGAATTGCCGTACAGAGGCTAGAAGAAATTCATCCTCTGCAATGACACCCTCACTGCCCATAAGACCTAAGTTAATGGTAACAGCTTTCTGGCCCTGCGAGATCCGGTAATGAGCGAGGGCATCCTGGAAGGAATTCCCCGCTGCATAATTGGCTTGTCCTCTACCGCCAAAAATACCGTTGATAGAAGACAGGAGAATAAAGAAGTCCAGATCCGTAGGCATTGCTAAATGAAGATTCCAGGAGCCCTCCGCTTTCGAAGAAGTGCTCACTTTCCAGTCTTCATAAGTCATATTCTCGAACAAATTGTCCTAAAGAGTTGTGAGTATCATAGATCATGGATTTTCGCCCGGTATGTCAACAGCAGGGAATCATGACTCACTCGCAGGACAAGAGTTCCTTGAATACACCCACGGATAGGTGGCATGGTACCTGACAGTTCAGCCAAAACTTGCTTTAGCTTGGAGAGATCTCCGACATCAACCTGAGGCGCCGCCACGGTAGCGCCTTGCTCTCGCAGTTCATGTATCACCTTGTATGCTTCAGCGGTCTTGGGCCCAAATCGAGAAAGAAGAATCAGATAGCGAGCTCCTCTGCTGACCATCCATCGAGCACAATGGCGACCAAGTCCTCCCAGCCCACCAGATATCACATAGGTAGAATTGCCGGAAAATTCATAGCTGGATTTATTTTTTGTCTTCACCTGACGTACATTAGATATTGGAAAGAAAAATAAAGGGCGGGAATCCTCGTCTTACTTTGATAGTAATTCCTTGTTTCATCTCAAGAACGCTTTTCCCAATACGTTCTCTTTGACGAATCTGAGAGAACGCCGTCTCTAAATCATTGGCGGCAAAGAGATGCAAGACCGGTGATTTCATGTCAGCCTTCTCAAACCATAACTTGACAGCTTGCTTGAATGTACGATAGACAAGAGCTGGATTGTGTTGAAGCAACTCAACCAAGCTAACAGTAGCTCGCGAAATATTAACAGCTCGCTGCCTAGGCTCCCACGCGGTGGAGCCACCGCTGATGTTGCCAATGTCAATGACGCGAGCGTATGCTGCCAGGCAGGCTGAAAGATCTGGTCCGTTCCAATTGGCCAATGACCCAACCACAACGTCAATGCCCGAATTCTGGGTAATAGCCTTGATGCTACGGCACATGGATACATCATCAGAAAGGTACACTCTGCCTGGCGAGAGATCAAACTTGTCGCACAATAATTCTCTCCTGGCAGCCGAACTGACTGTAGCTAGAACGTGCGCTCCGCGCTTCATGGCCATTTGAATCAGAATCAGACCAACACAACTAGTCGCTTGATGAACTAGTACCCACTCACCCTCTTCCAAATTTGCAAGCTTATGGAGCGAGTAGAAGGCTAGCCATAGGGAAGTCGGGAGTGACGCGGCTTCTGAGAAGCTCATTTCGGGAGGTATTGTAGCCACTGCATCGGCGTTCACACATACCGAAGTGCTAGCTAAGCCCTGTCCAATAGCGCAAACACGATCACCGGGCTGATATGGAGTATTGACTCCCGCTTTTTGTACCACACCGGCGCACTCTGTACCAATCGTCCATCGGTCAATGCCTCCCATTACAGAAACGTAATCTTGCCCTGTTAATCCAACCGCCTGGACGTTGACCAATAGTTGATTTTCGTTGTGCGTGGGAGGCTGGGGACTCTCCAGGTATTCCAGCGTATGAAGAGCGCCCAGATTACCAATATGAATGGAAGCGTGTACATCAGGGCCAAGCTGCCGTTCATCCTGCATGTAGGGCTTGAGCATCGACGATACTTGATCGTCCAGAAAGCCATTATCACACACACGAGGTATTTGAAGTATCCCTTTGTCGGAGGAGTATGTCGTTTCCATGGAATTCACTGGGTTGTTTTGAATGCTGTGAGAGAGTCTCGATACCAGTCCCAAGAGCTGCTCTTCTGTCTCAGATCCATCAAGTGCTAAGGTGATGAACCTTCGAGAACTGTCTTCTGAAGCAAGAGAGCGAAGAATCCCTTCAATAAGACTTAGCCCAGGAAGTTTCAACTCCCCCACATGCTCTGTGATCCAAATAGCGTTCTGAGTTTTGATGAGAACTTCTCGCAGAAGATCAAAGTTGGCGGGTGATATATCAGCAAGGAAAATCTCCTGTAGCTCGATGAGGAATACCACAGTCGTGGACGTTGAGATATCCACTTTCAAAATTTCTTCAAGAGTGAAAATTGATGTGGACCGCCTGGATGCAATGAAATTTGCGACCTGGTTTTGGTATGATGACGAGGAATCCCTCACAACAAAAATTTTGTTTTCCGGACAAGCCTTTTCATCTTTCAATGATACCGCAGTGGAAACCAAAATGCTGCTAAAACGAGATTTCTCATTTTCTTGGCCAGGAATGTCGAGATCAACACCAGAGAATTCGCTATTTTGTAGCCTCTCGTTCCACTCAGCAGTTGGCAAGCAGGGGCTATAGGTGGTTCGCAGTTCATGGTCCAATGGGCTCCACCAACCCTTGAGTAGCCCAAAGGCGAAGGCACCACGTAAAGAGTCAGGCTGAGTAGTCTCGAAGAGGAGAAGCTTGCCTCCAGGCTTGAGGAGCGTGCGAATGTTCTGGAGGGATTCACCGATGTTGTTGGTTGCATGTAGTACATGTGAAGCAATAACAAGGTCAAACGTCGCCGGTTCGAACAATTGAAAGGTCGGGTCTTTGGAGATGTCACAGACTTTGAATTCCAAGATGTCTGCATAGTCTTGGAACTTTTCCTTTGCCCGCGGAAAAAAAGCCGGAGAAATATCCGTGTAAACGTAGCGATCGCATCTTTTTATGCCGTCCGAGGCAATTGTTTCCAAAGTGCGTAGTGTTTGACCGCCAGTCCCGGCTCCAATTTCAAGGATACGCATACATGGATTTTTAAAACACAGGCGATCCATGAGAAAAGAAGCGGGATAGGCATGGTATTCGTTTGCAAGCATCTCTTCATAGTAGAGGTCTGCGAGGTTATCCCTGAATATGAGATCTAGCGGGTCGGCGTCGCCTGTTAGTACGGAGACGAGATTCCGACCAACATGCACAGTAAGGCGACCCTCAATACCAGAAGCTTCCACTTTGGCATTTAGCTCTTGTCGTGCCATTGGCAGATCAAGAAGCTGTTTTGCTTCGAGCTGAAGTTTTTGATTATGATAAAGAGATTGCTGATACTTCATCCACCGTGTATAACGAATGAGATACTCCGGAATGTAAACAGATGGGTGTTGTTGAAGGTATTTAACGGCTTCTTCCACGAAGCATAAGGTGGCAAGGGCGAGGTCATCATGCCGAGGGACGGTGCACGCTGGCTCTTTTGGCCTCCCCTGACTAATCTCTTTCAATATTTGGTCGGAACTCATCAGGTCAATATCTGGTCTCCATTTTACCCGAGTGCACAGTAGACGAAGTTTTTCTTCACTCTGGTCTTTGTTTCTTCCACCTTCAATGAACGATGCCTCCAGGTTGTCAATGATGGTGACAGGCTCGAAGTTCGATGTTGTAGCAATAACGCTTCCAGTTGCAGAACGACGTCCGAGATTAACAGACTTTCCAGTACTGAGAAGCTTCTTCCCGCTTGATAGAGCATTGCTGCGACAGTCAATCCAGATACTAGACACGCGTCTCGGGACCATGCCCAATATCTCGTTCTGTTGACAAAATAGGGCAATAAGAATCACCTGAGCAAGACCATCCAAAGTGCATGGATGGATAGTATACTGTTGGTTCCGATGGACACTTGTCTGGCCAATCTTCCACTTATCCGTACTGATCTTCGCAATAGCTTCTCTCTGGGGCCCAAGCTGCATATATTCCAAGACGCGGAAAGAGGGACCATATTGCACGACACTTTTGTCAATCAAGCTGTAGGGGTCTTCAAAAACATCATGTGCTGTTGCTTCCTCATTGGCCCAGCTTTGAGTTCCCCTCGAAAACGTGAAAGAGGAGTCGATAGCAGAATTATTCTGGTCGAATTCTCCTCGGATGAATCCAGAGCAACACTCCACCTGGACTTCACTGTCGATTAGAAACAGTCTAAAATGACACCAATTCGACTCGTTGGAGGTACTCCCTGTCTTGTATAGGAGGAAGGAAGTTTCGATTTCAGTCAAATTGTCACCAAAAGTTAAAGCCCGCGAGAAATCGACATCTTTGAGGAGAATACCAGTAACACCCGAGGGGTGAATCTGTCGGAAAGCCTCTATAGCCATCACCACCATGCCTGCGCCGGGGAAAACGATTTGGCCGTCAACCTTATGGTCACGAAGCCATGGGGCTTCATTCAAGCGGATTGTATTTCGCCACTGCGAGACTTCGGGATTCCAGTCAAGAATCTGTGTTCCTAACAAGTCATGGCGGGCCATGGCTCGAAATCGAAGTCTCTTACTGAGGCGTCCTTCATTCCAGTATGTCTGAGTATGGTTGAATGGATATGGTGGCAAGCTGTGTGGAATGCGACGGGGCGCCTTCTTGATAAGATTCACTGCACGAAGGTCCACAGAAAATCCAGCACAGTGAAGCTTCCCAATGGCAACGAGTAAGGATTGATCAGCACGGCTTTTGCGGTCCAGGGCTTGAATATACACGGGTTTCTCCACATCTGAATCATTTCTCAAGATTTCACCGATAGGCCCACGCAGAGCTCCATGAGGACCAATCTCAATAATATGTGTGATGGAAAGATCGTGCTGGCCTTTTTGACCTAATCGCTTCCGAGGACGCTTTCCTTTGCCAGCTTGGGCAAGGACTTTAGCCAAAGCTCCATGGAATTCAACAGGAGATGTCATATTTTTTATCCAATAGTCAGGCTGGCATAGAGACTTAGTGTCCACGACATCTCGTGTCACTGATGAAATCATTGGGGTCTGTTGCACAAGTTCTCCTGGCTCCAATCGATCCATGGCCTTTTGATATTCGAGTGAGACTTCATCCATGACAGGTGAGTGGTAAGACATTGGGACATGAAGTCTCCGAGAGAATATTGAGTCTTCATCAAACAACTTCCGCAATATGTCTAACTGTCCCACGTCGCCTGTAAGAGTCACACTCTTGGGGCTGTTGACACAACCAACCCAAACTTGCAGATCGCCGACGCGACCTTTCAAATCGTCAAGATAGGAAACCGCATCGTCTATTGATACCCCAACTGCCATCATAGAGAGATTCGCTTTTCTACTTGCAAGGTTAGACGATAATAGACCTCTGTAGTACGCGATCTTCACGGCAGATTTTATCGACAGGCTACCAGTTGTGTATGCGGCAGCAATTTCGCCTGATGAGTGCCCAACGACGATGGTAGGCAAGATTCCAAAGCTCTTCATGAGATCCACCAGCGCAATTTGAAGACACGTGGTTAATGGTTGACTGTATTGTGGCTCGTCGATGGATAGAGAACTTTCTTGGGAATTAAGAAAATGATCGAGAGACCACGTCGCTCCAAGGCTATCTAAATAGCTTTGAAGCGCATGGAGCGTCTTTTGGAAGATGGGGTAACATGAAAGTTCACGTCCCATTCCCAGGTACTGAGCACCTTGTCCGGTGAAGATGAATGCCACCCGCGCATCGCTCTGCGCCTTTACTGGAATTGTCAATTTGCATTCATCATGGATAATGGTGCCGCATGAATCAGCAATGATGAATGATCTCCACGGGAAAAGACTTCTCCTCTCAGCTAGTGCATAGGCTACGTCGTCAATTTCCCGTTGATTTTTCTCGAGGTATTCTCGATATTGCGACGCGACTGTCTGACATGGTAATTGTCCAGTGGCCGACAGGGCGAGGACTCGCAGAACATTTTCTCTCGCATCCGCTGGGGTGATCTCGGAATCGGTTTCATCAGTATCCGTGGGGTCAGTTGTAAGATTGTGATCAGTATTTGCGACGGAGTCGGGACTAGGCGGAACAACGCGAGTTCGGGTGTTTCCGTGTAAGCCACGTGAACTCAGATAGTGATACGCGTCATCGAGAATGGCAGTTGCATTCGTGCCCCCAAACCCAAATGAGTTCACCTAATGAAGAATTGTAAGTTCAATATTCTGTCAATCCAATATTTTATCTTGGAATGACACTTACACAAGCTCTGCGGAGACCGCCAGTGGGCCAAGGAGTCGCTTTTCTGGGGAACTGTGAGATTTTAGATGTGTATTTCATGATTGGAGGTGGCAGGTGAATGTGAGAGGAAAAAAGCGGTGCATCGATACTGATGAAGGATGGGTCTTCATTTTGTGAGGGAATAAGAAAGGTCGATGCAAGATCGAGTAAGTTCAAGAAACTGAGGAGTGTCAGCACTTACATGTAGACCCAATTGGTCTGCATTTATGCGGGGATTCAATGTTTCTAAACCAGCAATTGGAGGAATTACACCATTTTCAAGAACAAGCAGTGCCTTTATAACACTTGCCATTCCACTGGCACCCTCCAAATGGCCGACATTAGCTTTGACAGCTCCAACGTAAATTGGATCTGATTTTGAGCGGCAATGACGGAAGGCATGTCCAATAGAATTGGCTTCAGTCGGATCTCCGATCGCAGTTCCCGTTCCATGTGCCTCAAAAAAGCGAGTCGGTTCCATACTGAGGCCAGCTTGTTGATATGTTCGCTCAATCAAGGTGACTTGAGACTCTAAGCTGGGTTGGGTAATTGCAGGAGTTTTCCCATCTTGATTGGACCCGGTATTGCGTATCACTGCACGAATGGTATCTCCATCTTGGAGAGCATCTTCGACACGTTTGATTACCATGACCGCCATGCCTTCTCCGCGAGCATATCCATTTCCGCGTTCGTCAAAGCTCCAGCATCTACCATCAGGCGACAGCAAGCTGGAAGAGGACATCATCTTCATGAAGTTGGGGTGAAAGACCAAGTTGGCACCACCAACGAGACTCTGTCAAAAAAATTAGCGCTGGAAAATCAATGGAATAGAGTAAAAGAACTATGATCATACCATTGAGCTGGCTCCTGAGAGGAGGTCCTTGCATGCTAAATGGAGGGCAACAAGACTGCTAGAACAAGCACTGTCCACATTCATCGACGTGCCCTTGAAATCAAAAAACCAACTCAATCGATTCGCCAACATTGTTGTCGCAATACCAACTGCGGCGTGCCGTTGCTCTTTCTCATGAATTTCATCTTGAAGAATGGTGCTGTAATCGTTGGTGAAACATCCTGTGTACACCGAAGTATCGGATCCTGTGCACTTTTCTATTGGAATACCCGCTATAACCACTAGTTAATTCATTGCTTGCAAAACACGTTCAATATTCCAGAAGAGGCATACCGTCTTCCAAAGCATGATACGCCGTCTCCAACAACCGACGATGCTGAGGGTCCATAGAAGATGCTTCCCCGGGGTTGATGGAAAAGAACGGAGCATCGAATGCTCCTATATTCTCTTTTACAAAATGTCCTTTCCGAACTGCAATCTGAAGAAAAGTCATATCGGTAAGCTGAAATATCCAGTATCTGCTTGGAGAGGACTAACCGTGCTTGCGCGCGTTTCATCAGGGTGATAATAATTTTCAATGTTCATCCGGTCTCCAGGTATCTCTTTACTGGCACATCGACCTTCGACGATCATTTCCCAGAACCTTTCGCTAGATGTGGCTTCTTCGGGAAATTCGAAGGAAAGTCCCACTATAGCCAGAGCTGGTCTATCTTCCACATGACTCGAGTCAGAAATTCTTTGGCTTGATGTTCCATTGTATAGAAGAGGCATTGTGAACCAAAATGTCTTTAAAATTGAATGAGTACGGCTTCTCGTCAGCTCAAATAGTTGAAAATTCTTGAATGATACCTATTGCTGCACATATGAATCTTCCGAGTTTCGACGGTGGGCCCGGTCTTTATTTAAGGTCTACTAAATTAAATGGGTCTTTGAACATCTGGATTTGTTTAGCAATAGAATAAGCCATTCATGATCGATACATGTAGACTGAGTTCTGCTCCCTTAGCAGATCCCTGCCAATAATTGAACTAACATGTTTATCTGACGCCAATGCTTGCCAACGAGGCGCCTATCCAGTATTGCCTTATTCAAGATTTTCCATTATAGAATGTACTGATCTTGAAAGAAACATGAAATCTATAACGATCGTGGAGTTGACTGTGGCAATAATCTTGTTGCGTGTAGGTTGTTGTCTCAATACGTGAAATACGACTTGATCCATTTATTCCAAGAATACATGTATGTTACCTGCCCGGATAACTCCCCGAAGCAAAAGGAACTTCTACAGAGTACTTCCACAGTTGAGAGCAAGGCTGAGATTACGCGAAGTGATGGGGCTGGGTATAACTCCTCCGGGAATCCCCCCTGCCTAAATTACAGCTATGGGCGCCTACATGCATCCGCTTCCGTTGTTCCTTCCCGTCTATAAGCATTACACTGGGCCCCACCCTTTGTGAGTCTTTCACATTTTTCTGTATTTTGACCCAGCTACCCCCGGGCTTTTGCACATGATACTCTCCAGACCAGAGATATTAGTGACGCCTCGCACAAAGTTGGCAACATGAAAACAAGAATTCTCTGTCTGCATGGAATTGGAACAAATTCCGAGGTACGTAGTAATTTGCCAGAACTGGCAATTTATTTCACTGCCCCAGCAGATGTCAACGTTCCATTCATGCTAAATTGGTCCACAAGATATTTGAAACACAAACCAGTAAGACACAAGCTTTCGTGCAGATTTCAAAGTGGGTCGCCTAATATGAATATTACGTAGCGACATTGCGGTACCGGTTGGGTGACGAATTCGATTTTGACTTCGTTGGTGGGAATCATCCATGGCCAGCTGCTCCAGGCATTGCGGAGGTATTTGGGTCAGATGAAATCTGCTATTCCTATTTTGATGGATCGGCATTGGGGGCTATATCGACAATTGAAGACCTTGCGAGTTACGTGGTCGAGAATGGGCCATTTCATGGTGTCATGGGATTCTCGTTGGGGGCCGCGTTGGCAGTAACTTTGCTGCTCAACAGTACTAAGGTTGGATTCGTGGAGCCGCCATTCAACTTCGCAATTTTACTCTGCAGTGTTCTTCCTTGCGATTGGGACGCACTTCAATCTGGAGAAGTCAAGTTCTTGGACCCCACTCAAGTCACTCCCATCGAGATACCAACCATCCATTTCTGGAGCCCCAAAGATGTGGTATTTTCAAGTGAAAGTCAGCTTGTAGTGGAGATGTGTGATGCGGCTAGTCGTGTGAATTTGCAGCACCAAGCTGGGCATAATATGCCGGCTCGGCCGAGCGAGATCGATGAGCTAGCACAGGCGATTCTCGAAGTGTCGAGGACAACCGGCCGGGACAAAGTGGAGGGATAAGGCTAGTTCAGCACGCTTTTCACTAATTGTTAATTTAAGTAATTTCTCCGCACCATCTAGATAACTGTGCACGCACCCCCGGGGTCACACGACGTCGTTTGAAGCAGGGGAGGGTAGTCATCAACCATTGGGCTTCCGTATAACCGTGCACGCCCCCTTTAGAGCGGAAGCGAGAGAGGGGCCGGCGGGGGCGGGAACGGGAAGGAACGGGAAGGAACGAACTATCGCGCCGATCGCATCCTTACACAAGAGGTAGGAGACAGCGATCACTGCTGGTTCTTTGGGGGCCAGGCAACGTGCAATCAAAACAGCTCCAGCATGCATGATCTGCTGGAGTTTGCGTCAGTGACCTGGCGTGAGCACATCACATACTGTACAGCCTCAAGATTCCACCTGAATCGATTTGCCACACTTGCCATCTGGCCTCGTATCAGTCTAACGGTTCTGGACTCATTGGCTGGGCTTTCATTACAGTAGTCAGAAACGTTTCATAACACTGGGGCCACATATGCCAGAAGCAACCGTAGGTTGAGTGTCAATCAACAGTAAGTAGGGGGCCACCAGTAGCCAGGATCGCGCACGGCTGCAGATTTATGCGTTCAGAGGACTCAGCAGAAACAGACCAAGTGCAGGTTCTGTGTACAACGACCATGCACCTTCAGCTTTAGGGATCCATGGTGGCAAATGAATTGAAGAATCATAATGATCTTACATATATGGGATTCAAAAAAAATTATTCCGGTTTTGTCACATCAGGAGCAGATGAATAGTTGAGTAAACACATAATCATCAAACATTGAAAGATGCCTGCTGCTAAGAATAGTAAGTATGCGTAGGGTGGCTACTCTATAACTAATACAGGCCGTCAAGCACCATCCCTTCATCAACTAGTAGCGTCTTCATGCGGCCACTCCTGTATGACACTAGGTAGGTCAATTATATTTAGACCCCCACTACCCTGGTATAGGTCAATGCACATGTCCTGCCATCCATATTCCCTGCCTTTTTTGCCTTTTTTTTTTTTTTTTTTCTTTTCTTCCTTTTAATATGAGTCCTCTCGTGCATGTAACTAATTCTGGATAGGTACTTTGTACTCGAGGTTCTTCATGCCCGCTAGAAGAAGAAATGGGGGACAATAAAGAAATCTGGAAATCTGGGTCAAAGTCACGCCCCTAGAATACAGGAGTTTTCGTCACAGCGCCTATAAGAAAGAAAACCCCTCTCAGGTCTTCTTGTTAATTAACATCACCTAGTCTTTCCACCTCTCCCAGCGTCTTCAAACTTCATCCGTTTATATTATGCTACCTTAATTTATTTTTTCCCTCTTCCATTTTCTTCCCGTTTTACATACTGGCCGTACAACGAGCACTCTTTAACCATGTCAACTCAAGATACGTTCCCAGATGGGATCAGTCACGGTCACGTGATATACATAGGCGTGACAGCGACGATGACTTTTCTCTCAACGGTTGCAGTCATACTACGTTTTACCTCCCGAATGCTGACTCTAACGGTCAAGTGGGATGACTGGGCCTGCCTTGGTGCACTTATAGTCACATATGGGTTTCTGATATGTGGAGTAATTCTAGCCACTGAGTGCCATGCTGGATATCATGTTTGGTTATATAGTTTATCAACATTGGAAAAATACATGCAAGTAAGTTGCTCCTCATCTCTTTCAAAGTTGGCAACTTGGAAACGCCCCGGTCAACAGCCCGGGACTTTTCCGTTACTTACGAACTAATACGTTCAACACTGTTAACATCACTGAACAAACCAGACCGATTTGGCCCAGGAGGTGCTCTACAATGTTAGTATCGCACTCTCAAAGGTGTCCATGCTCCTATTTTACCGCCGCATTTTCACTATCCGAAAGCCATTCCGTATTGCGACGTGGATTGTGGCATTCATGATCTTTGGCTACCTTATATCGGCTGACTTTGGTTTGATATTTGCGTACAACCCAGCTCAAGCACAGTGGAAATTATGGATACCTTCCACCACCATTGATCTAGTGCCATTCTACTTAGCCGAAGGATCAATCAATATTGTGCTGGATTTCATCATCTTGTGTCTTCCACAGCCACTAATCTGGAAGCTCAAGTTGGGCCCTAAACAGAAATTGCTTTTGTCTGGGATCTTTTGTGTTGGAGCCTTGTAAGTTTCGAATGAGAAAGTCAATCCTACATTGCTGGCACCAATATCCTAACAAGGCTGATCTAGTGTATGCATTGCGAGTATTTTGCGTCTGACCTACCTCGCGAAGATGAACATGGACGACGCTACATGTATGCTGAAACGCTCAACCCCCTTATCTATTATTTTTCGCTGACTTTCAGAAGATACTGAAGTTGACGCTGGGCTTTGGACTATGATTGAAATGCACATGAGTATTATATGCTCTTGTCTTGCAACATATCCGAGTCTAATCCGCCACTTTCGTAAAGATTCCAAAAGCCAGGCTATGACGTATGGTTTCAAGAATACTTACAACAGGCGACTCAATGGTCGTAATTCTGGACCTGGTGAAACTGAGACTTCCACGTTATATTTGAAAAGATCAACCGAGTCGGATCAGCAATTAATGGACAAAGTTACCCATGGCTCAGGGTACATGATGGATAATCTGGGCTCTGTGCACGTGCAGACAGATGTGAATTTGAGATGGGATGAAGAGTCACAGGGATTGTCTCCATATCACCATTTCCATCCTAATTTTGAATGTTGATTGATTCGTTTGACATGTCAGTCTAGAACTCAGAGAACCATCGCAAATCTGTAAGGTATAAACCCGCCCAGCCGGGAGGTTCAAATGTTATAAATTTCCAAATGAAGTTAAAATTATGCTTGCCTTACCACTAGGGTAATCCCTTCAGGCTCCATAGAGATTGTGCTAGTATGAATGGCTTGTACAAATGAAATGTTTACTTTCACGCATCGAGATGTCATTCAAAGATTTTTCCAAAATGCTCGCCCTTGCGGATAATGTTCTTGGAACCCAGAATGGATGTAAAATATCCTTCCAAGGGGTTCAGATGTTAGGGAGATCAACAACCTGGAGCACAGCACGTTTAGGGAGGATGAGTGGAGTAGAGGCCTTCTTCGTACTAGCCCTTAGTAAGGGCACAGCAATCTGAGAGGAAAGCGGCGTCGCAGAGTACCCCACTCAGAGATTAGGTACTTTCCTTTGTCCCTCTCTATACTCCCGGTTACCCGTAGACTCCTGTGTCTTTTTTTTCTCATTCGTAGGACAAAACCACTCGTAACACCAGTCATCATCCAGGAGCCACAGAGGCGAATAATGGATCTTAGCATAATTACGTGCCTAAAGTATAATTATTGGATCGGGTAATAAAGACCAACCTCAGAACCCCTCGGAGGCCCTTTGACAACGAGTTCCAAGTTTATCAATTATGCTGGGAAATAACGGAGTACACCCCCAGGTAATACATCAGTCACGAGTTTCAAGAATAGGCCCCCACCCACAATATTTAAAAGCAACCATCTACTCTTTCTTTTCATTGTTCACGCCTTCTTTCTTCCATCAAGTTCAACTTAAAGAAATTTCCATTTTGCTTCTTTGTTCGAACAATGTCCATCTCAAAGCCTGAAGTTGTCCTCGTTGGAGGTGGCTGGCACTATCCAGAGTCATATGTCAAGTTCCGTACTGCTCTTGAATCGCAACTAGGCCTGACGGTCCACGTCCCGCAACTCCCAACTATGAATGGTTCACGACCTCCGAATGCGGATCTTTATTCGGATTCCGATGCCATTCGTCAAATTGTGACCGAATTAGCAGATGCTGGTCGCTCTCTTGTTGTTATCATGCATTCATATGGTGGACAAGTTGGAACCAATGCTCTGGCAGGCCTTGGAGCTGGAGTTCGCAAACAGCAGGGCTTATCTGGTGGTGTCATTCAATTGATCTATGTCGGTGCTCACGCACTCAAGGAGGGCAAATCAGGGATGTCCATAGCTGAGGAAGCTGGACGTGCACACATTTTTCCCAAGGTCATTGACTTTGCCGAAGACGGTACCTGTGTTCACCGAGACCCTGAGACTGTGCTTATTGGCCCTGGTCTTCCAGAAGAAGAGCTGGAAAAGTGTGTGCTATCTTTGGGGCGCTGGAATGGAAAGGCTTTTACCCAGCCGTTACAACATTGTGCCTGGCGCGAGATTCCTGTATCCTATATTTATACTTTGAACGACATCACCCTGCCTTTACACTACCAGAGAGCCATGGTGGAGGATATCAAAGCCGCAGGGCGCGATGTCCAGACTTTTGACCTCGACTCGGGCCACTGTCCGACAATGACGAAACCGAAAGAAGTGGCGACCCTTGTCGGGCAAATCGTGACCAGCTCTACTGCCTAGACCTAGGGCATAGTGTGTGACACAGTCCGTCTACACGTGGGAAAGATCTGATCATTTCACCCTTGAAGAGAACGGGTCTAAAAAGCCCTAACCATATGTTGCTATATAGAAACAATGCTTTACCAAGTTGATAACGGTGATTCTATACTTATGGCATACCTTTTCCCTTTACCTTTTCTTTCCTCCATAAGCATCAAACCATTTCAATCTCTGAAGCGTAGGGATATGGTTAATGATTGAGAAAGAGATTCTTTGAAAAAATGTCCACGTAAAAATCACCTGTGGAGCACTGAAGCTAGATTCCTCGTGCACTGCTCAGGCGTATGAATGGCCTGATATCCTAGGCCTACGATCCACGGCAGGCAAGGGTTTCTTGAGCTACCAGCCTTCAAAAGTTGGTATCTGCCCCGCAACATGATGAGCAGCCTGGTTAAATCACATTAGAACTGAAGTTTGCTAGAAGCATGATCAGCATCGAGCATTTCGGGGGCCATTTCAACCTGTAAACAATATGCATGAGACTATCGGCTCGCTGAAACAACTGTTGGAACTGTTGGATGGGATATGCATCTGCCGATCAAATTCCACATGTGCACCCGCTGTATACATGGACAGAGTAGTAGCAGCAACCGCATTCTCTGAGAGCTAATCACATGCAGTTCTTGGGCCGCCACCGGCCCCCAATCTCCTTTTCCTGTCCCTGGGTAGAGAATCAATTGGCAGAGCAGGTAAGGCACGGAGCAATTAGCTCCAAAGGAGCAGACAAATTTAAGGCGCTGCGATATGGGGCCACACACGGGGCGTATCGTTGTAGTACGTCACATCTCCTGAGCACTTACCCCGCTCGAATTGTGGGTCACATCCAAGCATTATAGACATGCATACTCACCCGACTCAGCCATTTAGCCCTTAGCACCAGCAACCCCTGCAAATGTGCCGTGTCTCAAGTCATTTGGTGATCAATTAGCTTCGCACTTCTTTCATGGCCCGACATTTTCATTTTCCTAAAATTTGATCACGCAATGCTCGAAGTGGAGTCTCCACCATTCCGATGTGCTATGTATGTCTCATTAATAAAAAAGGACGACTTTAATATTACCACGCACTATTCTTTATGGACAAGCGTCTACACAACACAGGTAGCCCTTATTGGCTGATCTGTGAAGCGCCAGGTTTTGAATGTTACGGCCCGTCATGAAATAGACTGGAAATATTCCGTAGAATGAGCGCCAGGTATTGAATACAGGACACAGAGTTCTAGGATTTGCTGATTATCCATTGTGTCTCGTCCTGAACTCTGCTCTGCTGAGTAGATCTTGCGTCTTTTGGGTACATTTCTTACGAACACCTGAGCAGGTTTCACAGAGTGCTAGTCGATGTGATTACGAGGAAAAATGTTTGAGTCAGGCACGCCTTTTTCTGCCGGGGTTTTCAGTCACATTTTTCGCATGACTGTAAATACAGGCCCTTTACGTAAACATGTTATTTGATGTGATATACGTCTACTTTTATCAAGTTCCTAGTCTTCATCTCATCTTCCTCACTGCCCTTCTTCGAATGCTTGAAGTTGAATATTCTAGTACTTCCAATCGATTGGCATCCATGCACATCACAAGATGTCGCAAGCTCAATATGTTTTACCTCGGGACTATCTCGATATCAGCCGGTATGTACCAGTCTTCTTAAAAAGAAAGAGAGTAAGCTCAAATTATGTACAGCTTGAATCTTCAACATTATCTTCATCGGGAAATGTTTGGCTATCTTGTCCACCCGTCAATTCCTACCGACCACCCAAAACTTAGGGTTGCAGATGTTGGGACAGGGACTGGGTAAGACCCTTGTGCCAACATTGAATGACAGACTACCGAGTTTGTTTTGTATGGGCTATTGACGTTAATCATCAAATTTAAAGTGTATGGCTTACAGACCTTGCTCACCAACTTCCATCTCACGCCCGTCTTGACGCTTTGGACATTTCGTTTGAGAGCGCTCCCCCCAAAGCATGGCTACCTCAAAATATGACACTTCGGCAATGGGATATTTTCACTGAGGTTCCAGAAGACCTTGTTGGGGCATACGATATTGTGCATATCTCGCTCTTTGCACTTGTTCTTAAAGACGGTGAGGTGACAGGCGTATTGGATAAAGTGCTGAAGCTTCTCAGTATGTCAAATTCCTATGATTTAGCGATCTTGCTCGTCCCGGTTACATACTAATTGAGGTTCTTTTGTAAAGAGCCAGGCGGTTATGTGCAGTGGTTTGAGGCCGATATGCTATCCTGGAAGATTCAGACGACGTCCCCTGAAAATAAGACAAAGGCAATCGCAAGCCTCATGAAGATCAGTCAGCCAAAGGATGATCGCTTCAATCCAACATGGATCCCAAGACTTCCGGATCTTTTCCGTGAAAACGGTTTGACTGCCGTCGAGGTTGATGCCAAGGATCCGCCCCCCGAAATGATCATGCCACTTCACCACGTCACCTTCATGGTGTATGAATGTTTTACTCGTCAGGCAAAGATTCCTGAGTGGTCGGAAGCGATAAGGGAGGCTATTCCAGGGGCTCTTCGTGAGACAGAAACTGGAGCAGCTAATGTTTTTACTCGGTATACGGTGGTCGGGAGGAAGCCGCTTGAATGAGCAGAAAAACTACTTTCATCCTAGATTCGTGGTGGGCAGACTTTTGCAACATCAGTGTTGCGAAATGCATGTGAAATCCAAATTTTGAGTATGTGCCGTATTTCCAGGGTTATAATCATAACGGATAAGGACAACATTGGATCCAGATTTGTGTACCCTGTCCACGTTCATCTTCAAAGAATGAATGTTCAAGAAGTAATCTGAATGCGATTGAATTACATAATCTGGTTGTTGATCCTGATGTCTTATATTGAATTCCATGGAAACGATCAATTGATCCATGTATAGCTCCGAGTCCTGTCTATATAGCAGGTGCCATCATGGAATCATTCATCGTACATAGTATCAGGTGATGGATGCAGCTCGAGCCTGATAATCTATATGCTATATGGCTTCTTCGAAGTCCAAAACATCTGCCTAGGTCAACTGGTGGATATCCATTCGGGAATGTACCCTCTTACAAAAATGGACGCGTACATACCAACCTTGGGATCTCTGACCAGAACACAAAAATCGCTAGTCGTTAACCCCCTGTAAATCAATTCATCCCCCTGTCTTCAGTCCTTGACCAACTGATCTGTCCATGATCTGTACGGAGTAATGCCCTCTGACAAGTAAATTACAGTCCGTTAAATACAGGACTGTGATTAAGATAATCCGGGAACAATTGACGAATCAACTCCAGGGTTGATTCTAATTGGCGAAATCACATCCAGCAGGGATTAATCGCGTTGTGGGCCAAATGCACATTGTGGCATCGCAATTTGCCAATTCTCATAGCATCTCAGGCTTGGTGGGGGTTCATATTGCTTCCAGTGGCCTTAATGTCTTCTCAGCTCGAAATAGTCAGTTCATTTCAGAAATTGCCCACACATGTGCACGTCTCATAACATAACTCAAAGTTTACAAGGACATAAATTCGGCTGGAATGCCATATGTCACAACTGAGGAGTTTGCTACCTAGTACAAGCTTTGTACAATTAATTGTCGAGTTCATCCCTCGCAGCGATGGATTACGGTGCTTAATTATCTGTTGCTGCAATAACGGGCCTGACGGCACACATGGGCTATTTTATTTATAATAAATACCATCTAGCAGCAGCTTGTATTGTAGGCTTTTATCTGGCAGTTCTGCTTTCAATTACAGGCGCAAAACACTATTTTGAATTGTTGCCCTTATATGATGCTATTTTTCAGGCTATAAAACTTGCTGGCATCTACTATGGGTCTCTGCTCACAAGTATACTAGTTTATCAGGAGTTTCTCTCATTTATATATTATATTCCCAGGCTATTGAGCTTCAGACTCACGAAGCTGGTTTACTTCTGGAAGCAGTATCGATACTAAAATTCCAAGGCCTTGGAAGACTTACATCATTAGTATGGGGATGTGGTGCGCACAGGTATATTTGCCGCTACGGATACTATTATCATATCGCGAACTGATTGTGAAGATTATGTGGTAGGACCGGATGAAGTTACACTCTTTAGTAGTAATGCATATTGCCAGGTTCATGGAAGGAGCTCTAAGTATACTAAAGCACCGTACTATGACCTACAGCACCCATTATGAAATATTATATCCACACGGGACTTCGCCGAATATAATACTAGACAAAAGATCTGGCAGCAGGTATTCAGCTCTCAAGGTTAGAGTTTTTACTATCATAGAAGAAAATATGCTGATCTAGATTACGTGAAATAGCGACAAGTGTACTTGAAAAAACTATTTATAATAAGGCTAATCTTCTTCTTCAAAAATTTGGCAAACACAAAGAAAATTTGGTGAATATATCTGATTGGATTGAGTGGTTCATATTTGATTTAATAGGGGAAGTAGGATTGGGTCTCTCCTTCACTAATCTGGAAAGCAACCAAACCAATTCCATTGTTTCACTATTTCGCATGACACACAAGTTTATCGGGCCCATTGCAGCCGTACCATGGCTTATCCACCCTTTCATGGGTATCCCATATGTGTAGTAGATGGGATACTACAAGACATTCCTGGATTGGGCCAATCAAGAGGCTACCAGGGCCATTAATGTACAGTTTCTTTAGGTGATATATACGGATTGGGCGGAACTAAGGATCATTGTAAAATAGGAAGCGAAGTCGGACCGTAGTGATCTCATCGCATACAATATCAAAGATGCGAGAAAGAATAGTGGAATTGAGGCCAATATGCTCAACATTTTGGCTGATTTCCTGATGGTCTTTATTACAGACAGGCAAGTACCTCTAATTATTGATTTTCCAATTCTTCAATTGGGATCCATTGAAACTTATATATGAAATCTATGAAAAGTGATACGGTGAGAGGAGTGATACCAACGATGATCTACCATTTCTTAAATGAACCAGAGGGTTTGAAGAAACTCAAAGATGAGCTTACTTCGATTGATATTCGTAACTACAATGATTTACAACAGCTGCCATATCTCAGCACGTGCATTTATGAAATGCTCCGACTGCATCCTCCTGTCCCCTCAACGGCTCTTCGACTTGCCCCACCTGGAGGCCTTGTGGTTGCTGGGAAATTTATTCCGGAGGGCACCACAATTGCAACGCTGCAGTACAGTCTATTCCAAGGTATGTTGAGTGAGCAAGATACATTGACACAAATTGATAACGAACAAGAAATGCTAATTTTACTGGCAGATGAACGCAACTTTGTGCGTCCAGCTGATTGGATTCCCGAGCACTTCTCGACGAGACCTTAATTCGTTCTTGATAAAGGTACATTTGTGCCCTGGACTACTGGTATGTGATATTTGCTTATCTCGTCAAGGTTCCTTTTCTAAATATGGTCTAGGTCGATTCTCATGTCTAGGGAAAAGTATGAGCTTGATGGAACTCCGTGTTGCAATTGCCTTGATACTTACTAATTTTAACATTGACTTTACTCCTGGGGAATATGGCTCGCGGATGATTGCTGAGATAAGTGACTGTTTCACCACTGCAGTCGGGCCAATGCAAGTGGTCATGAAAGCGCGGACCACGGAGTAGTTTGTGATATTTGAAACCACCCCAGGCAGGATATTAAATGACCAGAGAAGCATTTCCCGTGCGGTAAAGGGGAGGTAATTAAGGGATTTTGATTCTTCCATAGCGATCGTGAGACTCTTGAGAGTGTCCTGGTGGCTTTGATTCATGTAATCACACGTACTAACGAACTATTACCGTGATGAACAAAAGTATTCTGATGCAATTCCATCCTTGTCCGTTGTGATCCAAGATATATTTCTAGGTTCACTGCTTACGTGGGCAAGAACGATCAAACTTTTCAAATAATGATGGATATTTGTCACTTACCTGCCGCCCAATATTGACAGTCTTCCGGTAGAGTCCAGGGAAGCGAGACATACTAATCCGTTGATAATCACATTCTTATTTGACGGGCATGCTCTTTGAAAGCCTTCATCACTCCAGGGTAAACTTGCGAGTTCCATTTCCGTCATGCTCAGACCCCTCCGACCAGCATTTTGATCCAGTAAATTCTGTGCGCCAGCTATACGTTGCTAGATGGTCCAGATCGCTGGTCCTTGGAAATAATCTGGAAGGGATACTTCCTCCACAATTGCACCCGGGTCTTCCAACTTCTTAGCGGCAGTTAATAAGAATGCCTAACGGTAGATGCAACAACATCATGCTGGAATGCGTCTTTAAGGAGTCCAATCTACATACCATCAAGTCGCTGTGGGGCTCCTTGTAGTGTGCCTGAGAAATTGGTCGAACCGGGCCATGAACTTCCCACTGATCTGTCATCGATACCGTCATATTCACTGATGGCTTCGAGACATTCCGCAACCTACATCCAGAGAATGGAGCTAACAGGCTTTAGAAAGCTGTCAGCTTCATTAGAGCGGCAGTATCTGAAAAATGGCGTTCTGGTGCTGCGGGCTTAAAAATTCCGATAGGAACAGGATGAGAACAAAGGAAGAAGTTCCAGTCCACTTCTTACCTATTTTTCTCGTGACGGAGTGCTCATTCAGATGTTGGACACTCCTTTTGGTCCAAACCAACTAGGACGTATACGTGCCTCAAGAAACCATAGCTTATAAACCTTGAAGCGGACAGCCCGCCGTGGCCATCTATTTCATCGAACGGGAAACCATACCAGAACTGATAGATTGACTCGATGTGTCCTTTTTCCCATTCAAAATGTACATGGAGTCACAATTCCTTTACGCTGATGGATACCTCAAAGAGTATGAGGAAGCTGATGTATACCCATACCAGAGCTTACCCAAATCTTACACGTGGAGTCAAGATATATATCAGCCTTTGACGTGGAAATACCCCCGGCTATAATGTTGGTATATCCAGATCAGTGCGTGCGAGTTAGCGCTCTCTAAATAAGTAGAAAGAGAAGCAAAGTTTCTAATGAGAATGGTTTGTAGTGAGTAGGAGTGATGAGGCGAGGAATATACAGAAATAACGAATCACTGCTTTGAAACATTCGACAGTCTGGGGCAATTATAGACAAACCGATATATAACAAAAGTTACTACAGACACAGTCCTGAACTTATCTCCCTTACTTATTCTTCTTCTGTCTCAACCTCTTCAAGGGTTTTTGCAGAAGGCTTTGGTCGCTCTCGCTCATGATCTTCCTCGGTGTAGTCACCATGTTCCACCAATAGCTCGGCTTTATTCAAGACGTTCTCGTCACACCTCAGAGTCCTTAGCTTTAGTATTACAGCCGGCTGGGTTATACCTAGGATGCGACGGCCAGCCAATCTGGCATCGTCAGCATTACCCCGGACATTATGGAGGTTATGGAATGTCGCTTCGTGGGATCTCGGATCAAAGGTGGTTCCCATAGTCGGCAGTGTCTTATACACACAATGTCCCTGATTGGAGCCGAGGGTAATTGCTGTCTCATCAGCAAATTTGCATAACTCCAGAAGACTGTCCTCTCGCTTCGTCGCTTCGTCGCAATCCACACTTTTTAATAGCCTCTGGAAAAAGACGTCGGAAAGTAGGGTGGAGGCGAACAAAGCGACAGCGTTTGTGCGATATTCCTTTGTCTGCCGACCGAGCTCGAGATTGGGTGCTTGGACTACCTTGACCGAATTTAACAGGCGGACAGTTTCTTTCTTCCAAATGGTGGCTCTGATGCCATTTGCTGCAGTCCTGGTCAGCATCAGATGAGGATGATAGAAGGATGCGGAAGGGAAGTTCCCACTTTCTAAAAATCGTCGGTACAGATGTTGCAGATTCTGTGCACAGGAGACTGAACCCGTCGTATGATCCTGCCGATCGAGACCTTCTCCTTCAAGGTACCAAAATGGGTTGACAAAGAACTTATCCACGATGTTCTTTGTCAAGATGCTCTGAGCGAGCACCTCCGACATATACAGAGAGAAAGGGTAGGGAAGAGACTTCATCAGTGTATCCCATTCCAAATCTTGGACCCAATAGCCTTCTAGGCTATGAATGATGGCTTGCTTTTCCAAGTCATCCAGTTCAACGGTATCAGGCATACCTTGCCGGGCATGTTGTTGGCACCAATGTTCTATGCGATACATAACCCGGCGGATGTGGTCCCCCAAGACCTCGAAATCATAATCTGGCCAGCCCGTGGCCCCGGCAGTAAGCATCTGCATTTGCAACTTGAAGTCGAGCGAAGCTTTTCCCTGAAGAATCTCCAGTTTGTCCCGGAGAAAGGCAACTTCGGCCTTGAGGGCTTCGACGTCCTCAATCTGGGGTGAGCTTTCGTCTTCTGAAGCATGACGGTCGGAAATACGGTCGGTATCGGCGGGGGAGGATGCCTCCTATAAGAAAGAAGTTTAATCAGCGTGTGCCCGATGTCTGCATTCTAGAATTTACAAGAGGGTCTTTGAGTCTGAGCCCGAGAGGATACTTACCTGAACAGAAGTCTTATCCATGTCGGCGGTTCGGAGCTGTGCAGAGAGGCAAAGCCGAGGAAGACAGATAAATGAGAAGTAGACGATAAAACTAGAGAAAGACCAAGGGGCAATGAAGAAGTAATTGTAACGTGGGGAGACGATGAGAGGGCGTTAGAGAAACCAGGAATTGGAAAGAGGTCCAGTGGCTTTGTTCCCCGTTCTTCCCCTTGACAACCAACACGCAAGATGCAGCATCTAGACCTTCAAAGGTGTAACTCAATTCTCTCCCATTCTCTCTATTACCCCCCTCGTCCTCCTGATACCTTCTACCCTGAGACAGCCGAGTGAGAACAGGCCTATCAGGTATGCGAGGTCTCCCGACTAGTGATCAGCCAGCCTCGTATCTGCCGGGACGGCCAGTTTTCCCTCCGAGACAATTGCCTGCCCTCTTCAGAGACCTAGCAGACGTTTTATGTGTTGGGCAGCATGGGACACATGAAAGGGCAATACAATCTATCTCTGCTTTCTCCTCCTTTCCCCCCTCTTGGATGCTCTTGAGTGTCAGCGATATCTCCACTTCCACACCCCAACCCCAGCCCCCAGTTCAGAATTGCCATTTTCAAGTCCCCTTATCATACGAGTGTTCGTTACAGTCAATATACCAGGGACTACAAGTGAGCCCTAAGTTGAGCCAGTAACAATATGTCACAGGCCAAGTCAAAATTAGTCTGTGGTATTGACTACGGCACGACGGGTACCGGTGAGTTGACGGTTCCCAAGCTTTTATACATCATGCATGAGGCTAACCGTACCTAAGCCGCTGCTTGGGGCTATGATACTGACGAGCAAAGCATAGGTTCACCCATCTATCAAGTGGATGAATGGCCAGTTCAATCCCGGGCCAAACTGCCATCGACAATGCAGTACCCAAGTGGCATGCAACCTCGATGGGGAGTAGAGGCTACACCTGAGCTCGAAACTTTCAGGTGGACCAAACTCCTGTTAGACCCAGACTTGGAGTCAACAGATTTCCGGGACGAGGAATTGGAGAGGGTTTCGGGACAACGAATCATGCGGCTGCCAGCCGGAAAGTCGGCCGTGCGTGTCGTTGCCGACTACCTCAGCGGGACCCGTAACCACCTGGAGCAGTCGTACATTTTTAGTCAACCAAACATCAAAAAGGAGTACTGGTTTTCCATTCCGGCGGGCTGGTCCAACGATGCACAAGTGCGGATGAGTGAGGCTATCCACTTGGCCGGGTTTGGTCAAAAACCGAACGAGGAAGTTTGCCTTGTTACTGAAAGCGAGGCGTCCGCGATATCCATCCTAGGGGCATCTGGGGAACGAAGAAAGGTTCGTACGTGTGCCTACTTGACCTCAAGGAATATTCCTGGCTAATGAAAGATTGTGCCAATAGTCCGGAAGCACATTTTGCGTGTGCGATGTGGGCGGGGGCACGGTTGTGAGTAGAATATGCGCGATTGTTCAACGTTTCAAATCCTGACAAGAAGCTAGGAAATCGCCTGCTATATGATCACGGATGTAACTGCAACATCGTATTCACTCACGGAACTGAGCAGTGCCATAGGTAAGGATGTTCTTTCACTGGCTTGTATACAAACGAAGAGCTAATGCATCCACCATAGGCCCCAAGTCTGGGAGTACCATCATTGACAGAGAGTTCTTGAAGCTCATGAGGCATCGCTTCAACGCCTCCTTCATAAATCCGTTCAACGACGACAATTCTGATCGCAGAGAAAGACTCATGAACGAATTCAAAAAAAGAAAGGAAGAGTTCACTGGAGATGGAAGTAACCATCGTCTTAAATTCCGGATGGAATGCTTTACGTCGCAATGGTATGACTCAACGGCAGGTCATATAATATTGTCCGACAGCGATATGCGGGCATTTTTTGACACCGTTGTCGGCCAAGTCTTCCATCATGTGAACGAACAGGTGGACAAAGCCACTCGTGGCCACTTCAAGATCGACGTACGTTCAGGTTCTGAGTAACTCCTTGATTCTAAGCTAATTGACCTGCAGGAATTGTTGATGACTGGGGGGCTGATGCGCTCTAAATTTGCGCGGGAGGCATTTTCGGAGGGGTTCAAAGATGCAGGATTTTTCAGGATCTTGTGTTCCGAAGCACCGTGAGTTTCAGAGGTTTTGAGGCGTGCTACATGCTGATCCAAAGGCAGTGAACTATCTGCATCTCTCGGTGCTGCGCGAAACGGCCTGAGCGGCATCGTCACGAAGAACCAGACATGTAACAAGAGTTACTTCATCGAATGCTCAGGATTACGGGAGGAACCCGGAATATGTCTGCAAGCTTCTTCTCATTTGCCTTCTCGGTAATGAGGTGCTCTTTGCTAACTCCTCACCAGGGCCATGTCTACGAGGAAGATAGACCCTACAAGGCTGTATTTCATCTTTATAGTCGCCCGGGGGAGCCCCCTGTCAAAACGTTCTTTCTGAAGATGAGCGATGGCCAAAGTAAGCTGTGTCCCGCCATGTTACCAATAACAGCACTGACTCTGGCGCAACGAAACTGCAGATTCGCGCGTACTGGCCCGGTTGACCTGCAATTTGTCTGACATACCCGCCGACGAACGCGCCCTACAACCTGCTGCTGCAGGCGGTGTATACTCGCATCAATGCATCTCTGTGACTGCGACATTTCGTGTGAAGGGGTACCTGGAAATCATAGTGCATACTAAATGTAAGGTGTTGGCCCAAAAAATGGTTCCTAGAATATGGAGTGAGCGTGCGGGTAATTGAAAGGGTGAGTCTCTCTCGTGCGATTTGCGGACTGTTATGCGATGAGTGGTAAGTATGTGTTTCAAAACATCCCATATAGATTGGTATCTGCTGGAGTTGTCTTGGAGTTTTGTCTTATTTCTTTTCTGTTCTGTTCTTTTCTTCTCTCCCACATACGACTACTATCTGTTTCTCTATCACACTAATGTTTAATATTTTTACTATCAATAATTCGAGTTCCTTTCTTTTCTTTCTTTTCTTTTCTTTTTTTTTTTTTTACTTTGATTTTCCTTCACTCTATCTTGGTCTCTCTCTCTCTCTATCTCCTACTACTGTACTTAGATTGCCAACATTATCATTTTCGTCTGCAAAGGTAGTATATATTATGCCAGTACTTTGATTGAAGTCGAAGTCGCGATGGTAGTAGCAACTACAACTACTAAGTCGCGGTACTATTCCTAGTAGTACTTCTGTGCTCCTTCAATAACTGGACTAGACAATCTTAATTAAAATTCCCATAACTAGTAGTATTATAATAATAATCATAATAATTGACCGACATTGTTATAGACTCGTTGTTATGGTTGTTCTCGTCTCAATTGGTATAATTACTATCTAGTCCTTAATCGGTCTAGTCAAGTAGTTGGTTAACTAGTTAGTTAAGTTAGTTACGATGGCAGGGGGGGTTACGTCAGTCCCGGCGTGGTTTTAAGTGCCTGAGGCTTGAAGATCCATCCACCAATCAGCACTGTGATGCATTCCCAGTGGGGCCGATGAAACGGCCACGAGTCATGTGAGAATTTAGGATGATACAAATTAGATACTTATCTACATAGTGGTCCGGCCTATAAATAGATGGGACTGATGATGTAGGAGAGATGTTCGGCAAGGTCAGAAGTGGAAAATAGGTTTTTTTTCTCGCGACGGGAGAATATCTCCGTCTGCAGTAAATACTCAAGTAACTATGTAGCCGTAATAATAATAACTGTTGTGTACCTGCATATTCAATGCTGGCGGGTGTGCCTGACTAGTCCCGCCAGAACCAATAATCGGGCAGTTGATCCCGGTCGGGCGCACGAGGGATGATAATGATAATGATAATGATAATGTATCATCATCAACAACCATTAACTATATCATGACCTCCCTGGGTTATGATTCCTTCATTAGGGATGTTGCTGACTGGTTTCATCTCACCGAACTATTTGGATACTACGTAGTAGTATTTACTATTTATTTACCCCAAGGATACTAATGATGGGGGTCAGCACAAATTATTACTGTGGAGACTCACCGTTTAATTGCTTTTCTCCCTTTCGCACGTTCTGTCGGACATAATCTTTATTAAATATACTCCCGAGCAAGGCAGCACCATTTCTTTTGGCCCGATGCGATCGTGGGAAGGTTCGGGAACTTTTTTCTTCCTGCTTCCTTTCTTTCCTCTCCCTCTCTGATCATCATTATCATCAACATCATCACCATCAGTCAGCCTTGAGTACCATGGATGCAAGACCCAAGGGTCCAATTCCCACGGCAGGATGACATTGGGGGCCCAAGGAAGGGGGAGGGGGGGTTCACTTGGTGCAACCTGCATAACCTAATTTAGTAACCAGTAAAACAAGTTGACCAACTAATGGTATCTCTTGTTCATGATGAGAAGGAAGATTGATGATTGTTGGCACGTTCTGAAGTGCCTGCCTGCCTGCAGTGACAAGGGTGGTTGGGGGGGGGGGAGGGGGAAAGAAGTTTCTTGACCAGCCTTGCAGCTTCATGCAGGTACATTCCCTTTCACTTCTGTCTGTCCCTCCCCTCCTACGGTCGCGCGACTCATGTCAAACAGATGATGGTTTCGCGTAGAATTCGGGGAGTAAGTGCGCAAGAGTCGTAGTCTAGCTATCACAATCGGTCACTCGTTGATTTATTGGAAGAAATTCAATGGTCGTCAGCACAGATGTTAATTAGATGGTGTAGTGTACTAACTAACTAAATAACTAACGAGGTGGTGGTCGCTCCTTCCCAATTCTTCCCATCGCCGCCTCCTCCTTTTTCGCTCCTTCCATTCTCTACTCTCATCAATCTCACTCTCTCACACTCTCTCCCTTCCTTCTTCTTCCTCCCTTCCCCTCCTCCTCCTCCTCCTTCTTTCTTATCCAAAACGTGCTGTGCACTATTGTTTCCCTCTACTGCTTCGTTTTACGTTCGTTCTCTTTTTGTTGTTGTATCCTTTCCCCCCTCGGTTCACTGAACTCTCCACCAGGGGAGAAAAAAAGGGTGAGTTTCTCGGCTGCCCTTCCTAGTGCTGGTCTAAGCTGCCCGCCGGCGTTTCACCCTCCACCCCCAAACCAAATCCCTCCTCGCCCTCTCTCTCTCCTGATGCTCTCGTCCCTCCTTCTCCCATCCCATCCCATCCCCCTCCGTTCGCTGGCTTTTCGCTTCCTTCTCTGCCTGACTCGGTCTGGCTTTTGCCCTCCTTCCTCGCCCTTCTCTTTCCTTTCCTTCTTTTTCACGTTTGCTGCCGATTTGATATCGTGCACTCCGTCCATCGCTTTCTCTTCGCAAACACCCCCCTAAAGCCTAACCTTCCCAATTGACACACGCTCTTTGCCAGGTCGTCGTTCGTTTTTCACCCACTCAACGTTTAGCCCCATCTTTCCCAAGCAGATCGATCTTTTAGATTTCCATATCTATCATCGCCTCTCTGTGCTCTACCGCGACAATTTCCTTCAGATATCACCCTCTCTCGCTCGCTTTCGAATCATACGTTGCCCAATCACAGCTGCGATCCGCGATCATCGCTTCTCCCCGGTTGCTCTCTGCACCTGAGAACACGACCCTCTACCGTGTCGATCATGCGATAGTGCTCCGGCAGTCATTCTTCATCCTTTCTCCGTCCTGACGCTTGCGTGCTGAACCCTTCGGACGGCTGGTTGTTTCCTGATCGTCTTCGGCTGGTACATTCGAAGAACTTTTACTTTTCGCCCTTCTCCCACACATTCGACATGCTTGTTCCGAAACCTCTTGTGGATCTGGAGGGTCACTGCTCCGCTGTATACAACAACACTCTCTACACCTACTCCGCCAATGGCTTCATGTCGATACCCCTCGAGCGCAATGGAAATTGGACCTCATTGACCATGGGTGAGGCCGTCTCAGACGCAGCGTGTGTGATAGGTGGCACAGACGGCGATGAGACCAAGCAATCTCTCTATGTCATTGGCGGATCCGGCGCCTCAAGTCAGCCGGGCTTGCAGCGATACTCGTTTAGAGACACGACGTGGACCACCATTCAACCCCCGCAATCGGTCATGGGGAACCGTACTCACCACAAGGCCGTCTACCTGTCGAATTCTTCCTCCATTCTGGTCTATGGTGGCCACCAGACCGACGAAACGGTTGCATCTTCTGACACATACGTTTTAAGCACCGTATCGCCATACTCCATTGCGGCCCACAATGCGACAGAAGCGTCACCGGCCGCCAACCCTGTTCTGTTGCCGTGGAATGATCGCGAGGCAGCGTTGGTTGGCGGTACCACAACCCCGAAGAAAGTGCACCTATTCAACCCGAATGCGGGCTGGTATGGATCCAACGTGACTTTGTCCCAATCGCTGTCCAGTGGCGTGCAGTGCGCGATTCTCGAAGGATCCGACGGAAGCAAGGTGTTGGAGGAATTCGACATGGACGTGGCGCCCAACACGGTCTCGAGCGTGGTGTTGGTGAATTCGTCCGGGAAGGAGCAGAACCCTGCTACCGCCATCAGCTCATCATCGTCACGCAAACGGAAGAGAGAGATTACCCTCAGCAGTTACCCGACATATGATAGTAGCCTAGCACAGTCCACAACACGGCAGAACTACTCCCTAGCTCAAGGGGAGGATGGCCTAGTTGTGATCTCTAGTGGCAGTGGTACGGACTCCTTGGCCATCTTCAACCAAACCTCCAACAGCTGGGTGAACGCGACGAAATTGTTCTACGGTAACGAGAGCCGGCAGCAGATTCTCGGGTCAACCACAACGGCGGCATCTACATCCACAGCAACGTCAACCTCCAGCGCATCCAGCGCCGGCGGCGGCTCATCCAGCAACGATGTCGGAACCATAGTCGGCGCCACCCTGGGAGCGATCCTGGGTGTCGCGGCCATCCTGGTGATCATTCTCCTCCTGATCAAGCGCAAGAAGCAGAACTTGAAGAAAGCTCGAGGCGAAAGTGACAAAGATCGCCTCAGCTTCCAGGACCAGGGTGTGGAGCCGTTAGCCCAGTCAGCATACCCCATGGCTAAGAGCCCAGTACCGCTTGCCGCTTCCTCGGTAGACTCGCTTGCAATCTTCTCGGGCAAGGTGGGTGATGAGAAGACCCCAAGGCCGGCTGGTGCCCGCCCTACCTTTGCACAGAATTCGACTCCGCTGAAGTCGAGTCCTCTGACGACCATTCATTCCACCGGAGAACCCTCATCACCCAGTGTGTACTCGAGTGCTGCCTTTGACAAAGAAATTGAGGCCCAGAGCTCTACCTCGGGGGGTCGACCAGGTGACCGGAGGACTAATGAAGGGTGGAGTCGCTACTTCCAGGACAACAGTGCAACAAGCTTGGTTGGAATGCAATCACAATCTCTCCAGCCCCCACCATCAGGCGCATCGTCTGCCAAGCCGCAGCCGAAAGGTGCTGCATGGCAAATGAAGACACTTACACCCCTGGATTTTGGATTCTTGGATGAGCCAAAACCTCTAGGACAGGTAATAAGTGGTAGCCCCACAACAGAGCATGCCTCGTCTATCATCTCGTCTGAAGGTCGTCCTGTGGCAATCCAAGAGTCTCAGTCAGCTCGTATTTCTAGCGCCTCGTCGATGAGCGCCGAGCTGGATGGTGACGGGCCCTGGCAACAGCGCAGCTGGGCAGACCGGCCTCCCAGCAGTACCTACAGCAGAAGCTTCTACAACCCCAGCACACATGTGCCTTCAATAGCAGTGCCATCCGAAAGTGACTACCGAACACTCGACCCGTCTCGCACCAACACACGCGGTTCAAGCGTTCTTATACCCGAAGAAGTGGAACCGATGCCGCCACGCCATCCTACCAACGTCAACTCAGACATGAGTTGGCTGAACTTGAATGCCGATCGATGAGCGCTCCCTAGCATCTTCTAGACCGACACACATGACTATCGTCCTCCCCGCAACGTCGCCTCTAGACCCTTTTACCCTCAGTTACCCTCATTGATCCTTGCGCCATCACCCACGGCTCTGACCTGATTCCTTCATTGCATTAGCCTGGCTCCTCCATGGTTCTCCTCAGAAGATGCCTTCTGTAAAAGTTTCGTTCCCTCCACCTCGTTGGGATGTACAGCTAGCTGCGCTTGACCGTTTCCTTACCTCCATCGTTTCCTCATATTCTCTGCCAGGCTTTCTCCTGTCTAATGGGTGCCTGCACCCCTGCTTGACCGCTCTGCTCATCAACGTATTTGTTGCATCTATTTTGCTTCCATCCTGCTGGCAAAAGAATCGAGCGTTCTGTTCTCTCTCTCTCTCTCTCCCTTGCTGCGCCTGTCCGTCTGTTTTTATTCGTGCTAGGACACATTCTTCTCCTTACTCGCCTGCCATCGTCATCTTGCATGTAGTAGTACTACTGGCTCGTTTTGGTTCTGCGCTTGCTTGCTTGATTGATTCATCAATGATCCAAATTCCTGGTTGTTCTGTTGACGATTCCTGCCCCCATCTATTTAGCAGGTGTGTCTGCTTGTTGTTTTCTTTTTGAGATATCATACCCGGTGTTGTGCTGTCTTGACTTGTCTTTTAACCCATGTGTTGTGTACGTGTGTGTGTGTCTTGTAAATATCTTGTCTGTTGCTGCGCAAAGGGGATGGTCTATAGCCCCCTCGTTGAGAGTTCTATGTGCATGCCTGCATGTCCGCATGCCCTGAATGGATTATGCCGTTCATTTTACTGTTCGCTTCTCAAGTAAACCCTATATTGCAATACTATCTGTAAGCTACAGTAAAGGGTCGAAAATATCAATAATACCGAAAGAGAAAGGTGAATAATCAACAAAAAGCAACAAGCAAATGGAAACAAGCGGGCCGTGTACGTATACAACATCAGAATCAACTGACAGACGTCAAAACATTCAATAAGCGTTATCAATCTGCATAAGAATAACAGGACAAAAATTCTTGCGTCAAAGGAAAAGTCATCAATCATCAATCATTATCATAGCACATGTCTGCAACTGAATATCGCTCAATTTTCCTTTCATACTTTTTCTTTCAATCTAAGCATATTGTGCGACAGGCGTTCTGGACGATCGTCCTACAGACCGAGATCGAATATCGGTTGTTGACCCATACTCCGATGGATGATGCTCCTCAATCTCGTCAGGGTATATGGTCCGCGGCGGTCGAGTCGTTGTCGGCCCTTGGCTCTGAACACGGCGGTGTCGGCGCTCTCGTCGTTTGTCGCAGTTTTTGGCAAATTCATGTCGCTCGCGGCGGGCTTCCTCCACATGTTTCCATTCTCCGATTGCACCCTTAATCCCCAGGGCGGCCAGGCCGACGCTGGCTACATCGCCGAGCTGACCCTTGATCCGAAGACGACGGGCTTCCTCCGGGGAGAGCTCACCCTCGCGAACTAGCTCCGCTCGTTTTTTGTGTTTTTCCATACTTTCGTGCAGACTATGTGCGGCGTGGATGGTGGCCACCGCGGCCAGACCGGATTTCACTAGGGTTTTCCGGGTAAGTTTTTTCCGTTGGTGTTCTTCATCGGTACTGCTTCCCAGGTCAGAATCAGACTCCTCGGATTGACCGTCTCCATGGGGGTTGTTGACACGACCACGACCAGCTTCGCCGATTCCTTTGGATGTGGTGCGCGTGGACGGTCGTGTCGAGGTGCTGACAGTGGATAAAGGTCGACTCACATCTCTAGAGTGCCTGGAGCGTCGTGGGCTGCGATGGCGCCGCGGCTCGTCCTCACTCGAGAGCTCGTCGTCCGAATAGACGTCGCGACGAGACGAGCGGCCGCCATGAGCTCTCCTGTCACGGCTGTCCTTTTGTCCTAGGCCTAGAGCTTCCATTCCCTGGTTAATATAGTCGGTCACGCTCTTGCTCCGTTTGCGGGGGCGACGGTCGTCGTAGCTATCCCGAGAGCTGGACCGGCCGCGGCCTCGGCTTCGACTCCGAGGGCGAGATTTGGATCGGAAACGATCATAGGCCTCCTTGCCGGCTGCGGCCAGGGCTCCTGTGGCAACCAGATTCTTGAGTCCGCCCTGGCTTTGCGAGCGACCCCGGCCACGAGACCTCGACCGGGATCTTGATCCGTTGATGAAATGGTTGGCAGCCAGACCCGCCAGGGTGGATTCGACGACATGGCGTTTGGAGTGTTTCTTCGGGTCTCGGTCCACAAGTCCATCGGTACCGCCGGCCGTAATCGCAGCTGTAAGGATGCGCTTGCCCTTTTCACCGGTCCACTCGCCAGGGTCTTTGCGAACACGGAAGGCCTCTATAGCACCTGCAGCCAGAGCCGCTCTAACAGCCTGGGCAATGCGCTGCTCACTCTTCTCCCGTCGGTGGCGGCTTCTGTCGCGGGTGGGTGAGGGCGAGTAAGAGTAAGACCTACGATCCCGGGTATGCGAGCGGCCACGATCATGTTCGCGATGGTGGGAACCAGATGATGCGAGCGAGCCCAGACCTAGCGCACCCAAGGCCTGCTCGGAGATGGACTTGCGACGTCGTCTAGGGGGAGAGCGACTATTAGATGGAGAGCGGGAGTATCTGGGGCGATCACCTAGAAATGTATGTTAGCATACAACTTACTTTCAGTAGCTTTGTATTCTTTGGCGTGCTATCTGTCCGAGCACTGTCCGAGACATGAGATACATACGTCGGTCATCATGTCGCCTCGAATGGCGGTGGGATCGACGGTGGTAGTCCGAGTCATCGTAATGGGAATCACGATAGCCCATGGAATGGGATCTGCGCACCCCCTCCGAGAGGGTGGAGACACGGGACGGTCTGGCCTGAGGGGGGATGCCGTAGCCGTATTCGTAACCATAATCGCCAGGCGGGTAGTCGCGCGGAGGGGCATCGTAGGAATCAACGCTGCCATCGCGACGACGGACGACATCCGTTTGGTGACGAGCGGAGCCATGAGGAGGGGCGGCATAGTAGTAGTCAGGATTGTAGCCGCCGGGGGGCCGGGCGTACTGACGGCTTTCGTAGTGGGTCATTGTTGTCCGGGTTAAAGGGACTGATAAGAAGTTGAAGATCTAGATGGGGGTGGTCATTAGATGGATGAGGCAAGTGGTGTTATGGGAAAGAATTGATGAAAGCTGGATGAGGATGGATCAATGGAGGAAGAAGAAGAAAAGAAGAAGATGAAGAGAAGAGATGGTGCGAGATGGAAAGGGAAGAAGTAAAAATGGCAGTGGCGACTGGGGAGGGAAAGAGCGAGACAGCGGGGCAAGCGCCCGTGACGTAGGGGCAGATGCACCCATTTAAGGCAGGTACGAAACAGCTACAGTATTCACTACTTATTCGCTATTTGTTTGTGCAGCCTCACCTTCAATTCATTGGTGACAGGAGAGTCCCGCTGGTGTTTCGGGGCACCCGCCCACTGAAACCCGTTATGTCGGATGATGACATCTGTGGAAAGTGGATACTCGTGATTGAGTAGATTAATGTGGATGGATATTGTACCTCGCACAATATCCTGTCATAACATCAACATCAACATCAACATCCTAGAAAAAAAAATTCAAGGGTCCAGACAAAAAACATCACCACCGCATCCTTCCCTCACTGACATCATTCCCCACCCGTGATGACTCAGCCCCTTCCCGACTGGACCGATGCAGTTGGAGAAACATTAGACCTGAATTATTTTAATAGGTATCATCAGTAAGTCCTGTACTGTATAGAAATAATTGATGTGTTAATTCTGCTGATCATTGACAGTGGTGGTGACATTCAGGAACATGGCTTATACCCCACACACTGATTAATATGGCTGGCTTCTCGACCATGGAAATCTCAACCGTGGAAATCAGAAATAAGGTTCGGTCATCCCCAGGCTCCTCTTTCGGAACACAAGCTAGGAGTATAGGGACCCCTAACTATATGTGATATTGCTTTCACTTACGAAGTGGCCCAAAACCTCTTGCACACATTCATATCGAGGTGACTGATTCAGAGGAAATTGATTATATAATCTTTCCCATATAGAAAGATGATGATCCATATCACTATAGAAAATGAATAAGTTTCAACCTATCGCGTGGAAACAAATCTAGATTCAAGACTATGGCAAGGCTGAAAGATTAGATCATCCGACACGATCATCGTCACCTGACCGCGATGATGATAACAGTTACTCCAATTATATGCATGTCGGCTTTTAGGTGCAGACTATCTCTCACTTCATAGAATGGCCTGGGTTGTGAGGTCTCTAGAGGCCGGGCCTCTATAGGGATGGCAGATCCCGATGTCGATATTACTTGAAGCAAGGAATATCTCGCATCAAAAGAGAAAGAAATCAAGTAACATAAAAAAGCAATTTTGCTTGGTGATAACCAAAGCAGACATGTATAGGCCTCCACTAGCACAATATACAGGAAGCAGTGAGTCCGCAAGATTGACGATGATAATCCAAATGAGCATTATATACTTTGATGGTATTTGCAAGCAGGGACGTCTTCAGATACGGACAGACATATTGGGACATCTAACTATCACTCCAGTACTCGCTAGAGAGCGTGGGTATGACTTCGATGCGGACCCTACAAAGGTACGCTATAACTACGTACCCTTGACAGTAAATCCTGTGTTCTTACTAGAAAGCTTCATGTAGTAACCTGCGAGCCTGATCACCGGATTAGCAATACACAGCATCTCCATACATCACCAGAGACAATTACTATCCATCAAGCTATGCTATCAAGCTATGAAGAAGCTTGGGGAAGATCCACGTATTTAAGTGACTATTACTCTACTACATCTACTACTGGTCTTCCTAACAGAGACCAGTATCTTTAGTGAGTCATTGATACCGACTGATAGCGATACTGAATATCCCCACGACCACTAGCTTCTGCAACTCCCTCGACAAACTATCCATGCTTGAATGGCTTTCTTTTAGAGTGACCTCCCCGGGGAAAATTCACAACAACAATGTCAACAGAACTCTCCAAATTCGTTTTCAATGTAGGTCCCACAACATGGACAGTATTTCAACTGAGAGGATCACGAAGTTAAAAGAATAAATACACTCTCGAACAAGTCTATGATGTGATATTTGTGGCTGCACTTTGCAATGGCGATGAATACCTAATTCAATATCGATACACTCTATACCAACTACCTACGTAGTATCTCACCAACTACATATTACCCCCTGCTAATAAATTTCCCTCTAGAGCAATGCCCGCAAGAAAACATGCTACTTTTTGACTCAATCATCAACAGTCCTTGGCTCTCTCAGAATCTTTCTAAACAAGATCGATATATTCGAGAAAAGGATAGCTGTGTTATTGCTTTCAGTACACTTCCCGGATAATGATGATTCAGATACAGACATACATCCTGCTGCGAGCCTTCGATCAGCGGTACCGGAGACCTAACAGGACGCCGGGGCGTCGGATGTATACAGACTATACAAACGACATCGATACAGTGTCGATGCGGAAGACGTTGGAGTCTGTCCATGGTATCATCTTTCAAGCAATTAAGGTGAGTACTTGAATCTGGAGAGTATATGTCAGAAAGTGAGTGGCCGAATGATAGGAAAATTCTCATAATTCACCTTGAGGCTTTGGGATGTCTAGGCTGGCCGAGTTCTTATATTTGGATTGGATCTTGCATATTCCCCGATTAATCTACCGTCAACAAGTCTTGTCTCTACTATTCTACTAGTTTGAAATGTGCTCGATGGCCATACAGCTGGAGAGCAATAGTCATAGTTGACTAGCTATGTCGATGACGGGATGCTATACAAGAATGATTGGTTACATTCGGTTGTGTGTGCACGGGACAATACTGCTTGTAGATAGTATTTAGCGGGCAGTGATTAGTCTTATGAACCTTTGCTAGCACAAAACACAACCCCGACACAAGAGTAAAAGGCTGACCTTGAGTATGGTATGGTCCTGCACGAGCCGTGACACAGTTACTATTTCATAAGTTCGATATTAAACGACCAACTATCTGCCTAAATGATCGTTATTGACAGGTTTATGATATGACTCGAATGTGTTTTTGGATATTGAATTATGAATGATGATATATTAGAAGACTACATTCACGCGCTTCCTGGTTCAAAAGTGTGCTCTCTCCATCCTTGGCATTGTCATCTCATCTCGTATGAAGAGGACAATTCTACCAAAAGACTGAAAGTATACAGAGTCATAGTGCATATAAGTAGTAAAGATTCTCATCTTGACCATATTGATCTGGGATTATCCCAAGGACAGGTACTAATGCCTATCCATCACATCCCACTCGCTCTCGTACTGGCTTCTCTATTGTACATTTCAAAAATCCAAATTCGGCCGTCGCTCCCAAATAATAGGATCAGTAACAAAAGGTATTCGTGGCATACAAAAATAAAACACATCACACAGACCGACCAAGCACACATACACGCTGACAAAACCTTCAAAAATGACAGATGCAATAATGATAATTTCAAATGCAGTGGGGGGAATCCAGTCCAATTATGGGACAAAAACAACAAAAAGACAAAATGCAGACCCAGAGATGGAAAACAGAAAAAGGAAAAGGAAAAGAAGGAACGATTTCCTTCCGAGAAGCCGGTTACAGCTTTTGCTGTCCGGTTTCCATCCTAGTGGAAACCGTTCTATGCCGCATCTAGCCGTCGATATTTTAGACGGCAGATTGAAGAAAAAAACAGTGACACCAAAAGAGTGCCGCTCAGCAGCCACTCTTTGCGCCGATCGAGGGCGCTTATTTTTTAGTTCCTGTATAACGCCGTTGCTCCGATGAGACACGCCTTGTCCCGTCATGGGGAAAAGATGAAGAGTAGGAATAAAGGATGTCCAGAGAATGGAAATAGGTAAACATCATCCCGTGGTAATCTTTTTTATCATGCTCCGTTCACGTTTTGGCTCACTCGTCATACGCGTGAGGGCATCGGTTCATACGCCCGACTCGTGGAGATCGGGTTCAGCTTCGAACCACTATCGTACGAGGATGCGTCCATCTGCGTTCCGCTGATAGAGCGCTGGTGGTCATACACCGATGTGTTGCTCCTCCGGGTCGACCAGCTGCCACTGCCATCGCTGTCCCGATCCGTCGTCATGGCTGTGGGCATATCCTCGGAGTGGGTGCGGTGCGTGCGGATGTGCTGCTTCATGTTGTCTTTCCGGGTGAATGCCTTGTTGCAGATGGGGCAGTGGACGCTCTTCTCCCCTGTGTGCTTCTTCCCGTGACGGGCGGCATGGCCGGATGTCGTAAATGTCGCAGAGCAGCCGTGGCTGGCAGCAAATGGGCAAGGGTACTTGTTCTTGCGGACACCGGATTTGGCAGCCATGGATTCCTTGGTACTGCCGATAGAAGGCTGGGGCGATGGAGGCTCGGTAACAGAGCTGCCGCTGATGCGCTTTTCGGAGATAGTGCGGTAAGAATTCGTGTCCTGGCGGCCAAGGTGGTAGTGAGATCGAACGCTGGTGCTACTCATGTAGTCGTAGGAGCAGTCCGAAGAGCCGGGAGAGGTGGGCTGCACGGGTTCGGGCACGGGGTCGAATGGAAGCCGTGCCAAGCCAGGTGATACTGACGGAGAATTCACATAGGCATGGTGATAGCGAAACTCTGGAGCCGGGATCGATTGTTGAGGTGCGTAGTGGTAAGGATAAGGCGAAGTGGCTTGATGTCTAGATAGCCCGGGGGCGGAGCGGACTGTGAAGGCCGGGTTGTCGTCATTGTTCAAGATCGACACAAAACTTGCTTTACAGCTCGCCATTTTGACACTGATATAATGCTAATCTGCTGGGAATTTCGTTAGTTTATTTTCTCGGTTTTAGTCTAACTCCGCACTGTGCTGCCCTTTCCCTCACCGAGACGGAATGAGAAACCAGACGAGAGAATGCAAGCATCTGCAGCCCCGTCGACCAGGCGAAAAGGTAGGGAGAAAGAGGAGCAAGAAGGAAAAGCCAGAGGAGATTAAGTACTCACCAAGGATCCTCGAGAATGTTTGCCTGTTCACTTTCGTGTAACACTATAGAGCGGATTCCGGATAGACGGGATTTGGGCAAGGACTCGATAGAAAACTCTAGGAGCCACCAGTCCGACTTTCCTGCAAGGTGGAGGAAAGTATTCAACAACTTCCCCGTCGATCTGATCGAGAAGATCCGAGACTCCGACTTTCAACCCACTGAGAGGCCGTCGAGGTGGGATTCGCAGACGATGGGTATCAAGCGAATGAGATGACAATTGCAAACTGGCCCAGTGAGATTGCAGGGACCAGCAAAAGCAAGCACTTATTCTTTTCTTCTCCTTTCTTTTCTTTTTCAATTCTTGGCTCTCGAATCACAAGCGATATCTCAGACAGCTATCTTCCACAAAAGTATAGAGTCGGAAGATAAAAAACAATTTGATTGGAGATTGATGTTGGGTGATAATTGGGAGAGGATGGTGGATGAGAAGAGACAGAAGTCGGATGGGGTGGAAGATCGGGGAGGAGAGTAGTAGATAAGTAGGTAGATAATAGATAGGGTAGATCGGGGATCGGAGGAGAGCAGTGCAAGTATGACAGCAGGGACCCGAACGACAGACCAAGCTTTTGAGGCTAGAAGCGAGGGAGGGGGGGATGTGGGTGAGAAGGAAGGAAGAGAAGGAATGGAAGGAATCGGATTAGATGGCAAATAGGATTTGACTGGAAGATATTAAGAAGTCAAAAAAGGAGGGAATTGGAAGAGTAAAAAACTAAAAGAAAAAAAGTAGTCGAATGGGAAGGGCAACGCAGGAATATTAAAAAGCGACAGGAGAGGCAAAGGTGACGAACAAGCCCGTACGTTGCCAGACCCGGCGGACTAAGAAAGAAGCATCTTGAAACCCGTCCAGGGTCCCTCCCGAAGCTCTGGCCATCTGGAAAGTCAGTTGAGTTAGTTCGCTAGTGGGTAAGTTCACCGTGGACTGGGAGGGCGAGTCCACGACGCTAGTTCGCCGAAGTGGAGCTGAAAATAGGCATCATCATTCATGGTATTATTGTTCTCTCTGGCCGAGTATCAGGTTCGTTCGTGGGCCACCCAAGAAAATAAAAAAAAAAGAGAGAGGACTAAAAATGCTGCCAGCGGGAGGACTTTCATACTGGACCAGCAACGCAAGACCCTAACCTGACCGGAAGGAACCACAGGGTCTATGCCAATAACATCTACGTATCTCCTGTTACTGCTGAGTATATTACCTGCATCTTAAGTAGTTGGTTATCTCAGTGGTAATTCTTCACCCATCCCTACTGTAGATGATAATCAATTCTCAGATGCGCACTTCCTCTCTACGCCAGTGTTAAATTCTTTCCCACCCATCCATTTTTCTTCCCCATCTTCCACGCTTATACCATCGCCACAAATAAAGAAAAAAAATAAATAAAAAAATAAAAAAAAGACAAGCCTTCAACCGAGAAGATCAGATCAGACCAGGAGTAAAGCCGAAGTACATCCTTTATTCGGCACTAGTGGCCTCCTGCCCTTAGTCAGGCTGGAACCCCGTACCAAAGGTTCCTCAGGCTCGCTCGGCCGTCTCGCAGAACCAGAACCACGAGTAGCCACGCGGATCACTGACTTCGCCCTGTCATTGTAATTTTGGAATTACCCTTTTTTGCATAACAGTTCTGAATGGCAGTTTTCTATTTGACTTCTTCAACAAACGGAACTTGACGACTCCATTCAGGGCCCCAATGGCCCCTCTCTGCCCTTTTCCCACCGGTCATCGTTCTAACCGACTAGATCCCTGACTGGTACGTGTCCCTGTCGTCAGCTGGATGGGCGGAGAGAAAGGAAATAAGAAAGGACAGATAAATAGAGCCGTTATTGGTAGTGCATCGGGGTTAAATAACAATTGGCTATATTATATTATATCTTGAATAAATGACATGAAGTAACCATTCGCAATATTAATAAAAAATCCCCCCAAAGCAAATGGTAATTTAGAGAAATAAAAACAAAAGAAAATAAAAAGAAAACTAACGTACAGGGAAAAAAATTAAAAAGATCAATTTGACTAATCGGAATTAGTCTGGTCCGGTCGCAGGAGGGCAAAGTCCCTTAGACTGGGGGGTTTGTTGCGTCTCCCCACCAATGACAAGGGCCAGAACCATCCCCGACTCCGTATTATCCTTCCATTCCTGACGCTAATCAAAGATGCATACATAGACTTTCCAGGGTTCCCGAACAAACAAGAAGAGGTAGACTGTCTACTTGTCAATTTGCTGAAGTTCCTACTCGGTAATATGACATACATGTCGTAATTTTCTATCTCGGTCCAGCTACAATGACATGGCTGTTTCGAAAGTCAATGCAATATCGGCATTTAGAACGTTGTTGACTATCTAAACGGTTGACGCATTATTCTTCGCAGAGACCCATTCTATACTTAACTTTCAATAGGCTAGTAACTATTCCCCGACAAGAAAGGGAAAGAAAAAAAAAATTACTACTGCCTCCTGTACCTGAACAGTGGACTAGGACAGAACCGATCAAGCAGCGCCGCGCGCCAGGACGCCTCGCTCGTGCGGCCATGCAAAAAACGATGGCGATCCCTACCGGGAAGGGTATAGTGGCCCCTGGCCGCATCCCCAGAAGAGGCTTACGGACAAGCTTTTAGCCACGGTGTGATGGAATCCATGGACGGGGGGCTGAACTGAGCCATGATTGGGCCTATGGAAGGGTGGTGTGTGGTTATTTTCCTGACGCTAGTAGTAACGATACCGACATGGGATTAGATACAAGAGAGGAGAATGAGGGGCGGCAGCTCATTTTCCCTTTTTTTATTTTTTTTCTCTCTCTTTCTCTCGCTCCTCATGGCTTTCCCCTGGCCGAAGATTGATCGGAACCGTTGGAGAAGCGCGCTTCGCATATACTAACTAACTATACACCATGTAAGATTGATTCGCGTAGTGGCGATGCGGGAATACGAGTCCCTTCTTTTTTGCCTCAGATCATACCCCATTTCGGGCATCTTTGTCCGACTGGATTCGGCCGTAAGTTCTCAGTAGGTGCTTCGTGCGACTCGGAGTTGTAACAACCAGGGGCTGCGTGTGAGAGTGTCGGAGGTAAACTACAAAGTAGGTATGTATGTACTGTGGGGTGAGAAGAAAGGGCCGAGGGGTCCGGTTTATGGTGTGTTTTGTTTTCACCCTTTAGCCTGATCTCTTTATTCATCAAAAGCTTCCCTGTGCAATCTGGGACTGATGTGCGACACGTATCAATTGGTCCGTCCCTTTTTTTCCCATTCCACTAGCACTTTGTACCAAGCTTTCAAGCATCTCCTTTGAGGAGTGGTTAGATTCACGAGCATCCACATTCCACCCGCCAAACAACTCAACCCGACGTTCTGGAAAACAGAACACCGTAGTCCCACTCGGACCCGACCCGAAATAGCTTCGATTCCAATAGCACAGAAAAGAACTAGTCCTCCCCCCGGGGCCTTGCCAATAATAGGAAACTAGCAGCGACAGGCACGACAGAATTATCTCTTCATCACAAACGCCTCGTTGTCGCAGGTTTCGTCTATGATTAGAATGGAGCAGTTACATAGATGTGCAGTTGCCAGCAGTTCATCGTCGTCATTGATTCTTTCGGTACTACACGGTGTACAGTAAGCAGCATGATATCACCACCAACCATCATGACTTCATATCACCCAACAAACCCGAATCCTGCTCCATTGGTTTAAAAAGACATTGTAAATTTCTCCGGAACAGGAGGCAAAAAGAGGGTCGGCACACGGGGGATAAAAATTTTACCAATCAAGATGGAGATACTAGAATCAGAACAAACAGGCACCTAGATATCCATCCATCTATTCCATTCTCCCCTTCTTCCGGACCCCTCCCCCATCTCAGGCGATCCATAACGCTAAGCAAAAGTGCAAAAGTCTTAGCTTTGCGTATCTATCTCTGATCCGTCAATCAATCGTTTCCATGAACCCACCCCTCTCATACACCCACCCTTCAAGACGGACGGAGTTCCACACCCAAATCCAGCCTCTATGCATACGTGGACACATACGCCCGCCCCCCTCCAACACCAATCCGATTCGTCTACTTCTCGTCTAAGTGGCTTTTTCTTTTCCCTTTTCCTTTCTTGGATTTTTTACTTTTTTTTTTTTTCCTTTTGGCCCCCTTCCCTCCCCTCTTCTGAACCTCGCTTGGCAGTATCCTCCGACAAGACGTTTGACCCATTCATAAGTACGTACTGCAAAGCTTGGCGAGACCCTGAATTCTCATCCTTCAACCCTTGACAGTTTCACTTACTGGATGGAGGATTGCATCTACTGCTGCTTGCTTATCCTACAGTTTACTACAAGTAGTCACTCACCTGGTACTTCATATGAAAAACCAACCTAGACTCGAATTGAAGTACTAACTAATATCAACCATCCCCATCTAAACCACACACGCATACAAATAAGTACTAGTCTCCATCACCCACTTCTCCCAGGCAGAACAGATAAAAAGAAAAATGAGGCACAGCAATAACAATAAGAACAAGTAGTTAACTCCGTGACAAAGTACTAACCACTAGTGTGGAACTCCGAACCGCAATTATGATCCATCATCCTACGCGTCAATTCGTCCCCAGGGATAACGTCAGGCCAGCCAGCAGTCAACAGAAAAGAAAAAGAAAAGAGAAAGGTCCGATTTCAAGCGGTTGACGTGCCGAGCGAAGGGAAGCGGGGAGGGGCTGTGGGAGAGAGAGAGAGAGAGAGATGATGGGCCCTTTTTTTTTTCACTGGTTTCCCACCCTGCATCATCGGAGATGATTGCTATTGGTCAGATAGAGGAAGGGAAATGTTGATGCCTACAATGGGTGGTGGGAAGCTTGCGCATCATGCTTGTCCGGCTTGTGGAGGGAGATCGGAGGTCGGGGGTAATTGTGAGCTGTTAGGGCCGGTTGGATGGATGTACTTCCGCGTTGCGGGTGTTCGGGTGGTTAGATACTTGTTTGTTACTGGGTTGGTTGTGGGTGGAAGGGGGAAGGAAGGGGAAAGTGTATCAGGTAGATATTATGCGTGGTTTTGGGGGAT